TGTATGTGAAAAGGATGATGATCAAAACTTAAATTTATCTTTCAAATATAAAAGCTGTTTCTATTGAAAGCATTTCCAGGCCCTTTAAAAGCATTTGGAAACCATACCCAAGGACCAAAAATGAATACATCCCCTTTCTTCCAGGTGCTGGGGTTATAGTACACAGAGCCTACCTTCACATCACTCACTTGCTTATTTGTCTTTGCCCCAAGCCTGAGTTTAGTGAAAACAGAGATTGTATCTGACTAAGTCATCACCTCAATACTCTAGGAAGCTGAGGCAGAAGAACCATAGTTCAGTGGTAGCCTAAACAACGTAACACTTTAGTGAGACCTCACTTCCAAATTGTGTCTTTGGTGTACATTCAAGAATTCTACTCATTTTTCAAATTGGATTGCTCATCATTTCGTTATCTATAGGATTGTTTTATATGTGTGTTGGTTACTTGCTCATTGCTGAGACAAGATACTTGACACTCAGAGTTCAAAAAAAAGTTTATTTCACCTCACAGTTTATAGAGATTTCAGTCCATAGTTGGCTGGTTCCAAAGCAGGGTTGCCTCTGTTATAGAGGCATCACAGGTGAAATACAGTCTATGGCATGGTAAGCAGAAGGCAATAAGCAGCAAGCCTGCCTTCCATCTTTTCCTTTTATTTCACTCAGTCCATCAGCCTTTTAGGTGGTGTCACCCACTCCCAGGGTGGGGCTTTCATTATGCATTCCCAGAACTATGCTAAACCAATTTAGTTACCATATACCCTTAATCCCCGTATCACAAACTAACCCAGAACCACCCACCCATTATCCAGCCACCTCCTCAAAGGCCCAACTATGAGTGCATGAGGCTTCGGGGGAACATCTAGATACAAGTCATAATAATATGTAATGGATATAAATCCTCCATCAGATATATGCATTGTGCATATTTTCAGTCTACATCTGGCTTTTCACTTTAATATTTTCCACATTACTTTTAATGGATACTCATTTTCCCATTATAGTGGCAGCTTTTAAATCTAGAATTCTCTTTATGTTTATTTATATTTATAGGAAAAAACCTGCTTCAGTAGAAAACTGCATTGTCTAGGGTATATACTTCTGGATTCTAGATTATCTGATTCTGCACCTTTTATCATCTTTGAACCATTTTTCAATTCTGTAATTTGTATATAACTGATAGAAGTACATCTATAGACATGCAAATAAATTCTGTCTGATGGAGATTCAACTAACTTCTTTCTACTACTGTAGAAGCCAATTCTGCCTCCATTTGCACATTCATTTTAATATTCTGATTTATACATGTGTCTGAGATCTGAATTGTCTCTTGAAATAGTTGTAACAATTTACCAGTTCCTTTAGTAATGAATTAAATAACATAATTAATTTGTGTTCATTTTATATTTGTACAGAAGTCTTGCTTTTAACTTTTAAATTATCGGCACATTGTTTTCAATTTTTCCTTTTTACAATGGAGGTTACAGCCCTTATTGCATTCTTATGTTTGTGCAGAACTCTCTGAAGACTAAATAGTATCCATGCTCTCTCACAAATCAGACCAACTTTTCAGGAAGGGGTTTAACAACTTAACGAATGCATAAGGGATGAGTACAGACAGAAATTTCAGTATATATTGAAAAGGTTAAATTAGGCACAAATCAAAGAAATAAAACTAATGGCAGACTTTCAGGCATAGTATGGCAGCATAAATGATAAAAATGTTTGTTTACTGGGCATTTACAATTCTCAGACCACTGCATCAGGCACCAAAGACATCATCTTCATCCTTAAGAATCTCGAATTAGAGGCAAAGGCAAATAGTAAGAAACTGAGTTGGATTGTATCTATTTCTGGTCCTCAGGTTATGGTTTTTGAGTGGTTTCAGGGTGTGTGGAAATGCTTTCATATACAAACAGTTTTTATATTTAAAAGATAAATAGAGAAATTAAATTTTGATCCTTCTTTTCATATAAGAACATATTCTAATAACAAAGCTATTTGGATTCACTGCTAATACATGAAATATTCATTAAACTGCTCATTGGTGGGTATGAGCACAATCAACTTGTGAGTTCTCCGATTCTAATGGCACCAACTCCAAGGAAGGTGTGTTAACACACTGCATTTATGTCAGGAATCACTGCAGGAAACAGAAGCCATATGTCACCAGGTATAAAAAGTTTTAGCACAGGAATTAGCAGTTTGCTGGACTATTAAGAGGTAAGACAGGGATGGGGATGTAGCTCAGTGGTAGAGTACTTGCCTAGCATGCACAAAGCCCTGAGTTCAATCCTCAATACCACACACATTCACACACACACACAAAGAGGTAGGACAGAGATCAAAAGAGATCCCATCAAGATAAAGGAAGCAGACACTTGAGCTCTCAGCTTGAACCACTAACGCCCAAATGATTGCTGGAAAGCTGTTGAAGTTCTCAGGAGTCTCTGAAAACCTCCTCATCCTATCCTCCCTGCTGTCTGCACCCGTGAAATATGTGATTCTCTTGAGTTTCTCAGGAAGTTTCTGTAAATATCTTATCTGCCCATGGGTCTGGCTGTGACGTGGTTCTAATTTAACTTCAAGTTTCATAGAAGTTCTTCCCATGGGTAAACTAACCTGTAATCATACTAAGACAGGGACCTGGAGGGATATGCTTTTCAGTTTCTCTTCCACAGAACAGATTCCAGAAGGGCAAGATGGTTCCCATAAAAAGAACCAGTGTCTACCACATAGCTGAGGCCTAAGAATTAGTGACCATCATCATTACCATTCATGAAGCAAGAGATACTGAGCAAGTACGTAACTTCTCCAATTTTGAAACTCCTATTTCTCTTCCAGGATTTCTGTCCATCTCCAACCTCCAACAATGGGCAGTGATGATCCTAGAACACACATGCTGAATAATTCACTGGTGTTGAAAAACATGAGAGGCTTTATGGGTTAATGGTGACACTCCTAGTATGAGTGAGACTTGCAGTCTAGTCCTGGCTTTCGTGCCTGTGGCGCTGTGATTTGGGGCAAATTACTGAACCGTCTTAACTGTTTTGTTGAATAGTTCAAGAGACAACAATACAGAGAAGAGCACATCATCTCTGGAGTGTTATTCCTAAGAATGCATTCCCTCAATCCAATCAGGAGAAAACAGGCAATCTCAAATAGAAGGACATTCTAAACCAAAACAACTGTCCAGTATCTATCAACATTGTTGAGTTCAGAAAACACAGGACTGAGGAATTCTCAGATTAGAGGAGCCTAAAGAAAGGATCTTGTATCGAAGCTTGAAAGCCCAAAAAATAAAAACTTTAGTGGAGAATCAGGTGAAACATGAAGACAATCTGGAGTTATGAGTACTATACACGTTAATTTGAGTTTGATCATTGTACCATGATTATGTAACCTTGTGACATCAGAGGAAGCAGAGTATACATAGGAACTCTGTATTAATTCTGCATCTCATCTGTAAGTCAAAATTGTCTTCTGTAAGCCCACATAAGAAGTTAAAAAATAAAAGAATGTGCTATTTAAATAATATGAAGAGTAAATTTGTCATTTTGTGCCAGGCTTGCAGATTATGTTGTCAGTCCCGTATGGAAGTGCAGTACAAGGGAGAACCTCACAAAAACTATTTCTTGTGTAAAACAGCCGCTATGAATCTGAGGGGATCCTGGAAGCAGAGATAAGAACTGCTTGATCTGAAAGTGCCATAGGGACAAAAATAACAATAAATAACAATGTTCAGTGGCTAAAGACCAGATGGGACAAAAGGACTTTTCAAATGATGATGGCTACAGAAAATAAGAATCTAATTCTGATACCCTCTACCTGGCTTGGCACTGTTCAAGACCCCTAAAAGTCAGAAGCAAACCTGAAGAAAATGAACACACTCATTCATTAATAATCCTCCAAACCTGCCTCTGATCACATGCTGGGTTACTTCCTTGCCTTCCATGGAAACTCAAAAGCCATACTGACCAAAGTTAAGTTTCAACACACAGTACATGAAGCCTCAGAGTCAAATATGGTGGCACACACTTTTAATACTGGCTTTCTGTGAGGCAGAGGAAGGATAATTGCAATATCAATCTCAGTTTAGGCTCCTTATCAAGACCTTGTCTCAAAAAATACAAAACAAGGACTGGGGATGCAGCTCAGTGCAAAAGCCCTGGGTTTAATTTCCAGTACCACAAAAGGAAAAAAAATTAAGTTGTTATAAAAATTGTTATAAAAAAGTTATATTTCCTGGCATTTATGTTTGTGGACTAAGAGTTGGTTCTGTTACCCATCAGTTTTCCAAACTAATTTTACTAACTATGTGAAAATACCGATTTTCCCATCTCCAGGGAGGTGAGCGTATTTGTTAACATGGGCATAAAAGGTCACCAAAAGTTTAACGTATCACCTATTTTTGCTCATTGAGGAAGAAAGCAAACCTTGTCACACTGTTGAATCTGGCTAAAACTGTTATTAATAGAAAATGTTGCAGTAACATTAGTACAAGTTCTGTAAAATGAGTTCATTAAAGTTGCAACTAGCTGAGCATGGTGGTACACACCTGTAAGCCCAGCTACTCAGGAGGTTGAAGCTAACAATATTGTGAGTTCCAGGCCATTCTGGACAACTTAGCAAAACCTTGTCTCAAAAAACAACTGCCAATAGAATTTTTTAAATTTTTATTAATTTATTTTTGGAAACAAATTTTAACATTTAGCAAGAGCAAATCTTATGAATAGACATTTATTGGGCTAATACAATAGAAGGATTTAAATGACACATTCTAAAGACAGGATTCAAGCTTTAGTTTCAAATATTTTTTAAATCGTTCAAATATTTTTTAAATCTATTTTCCACCAAATGTTTGTATTATGCTTAAATCATGGAAATTGTTTTTGAATACTTTTTTTAATAAAGGACATTGCTGGAACTAAGAATATAGCTCAGTAGTAGAGCACTTCTCTAGCAAACATAAAGCCCTGTGTTAGATCCCCAACACTAAAAAAAAAAAAAAAAAAAAAAAAGACAGTAAAAAATAAAAATAAACTGTACTATCCAATATAGTAGTCACTATCTACCTATTACTTAATTTTAAATTTTAGTTAGCTAAAATGAGATAAAATCTTAAATTTAGTTTATCCAATTAGTCACGACTCATGTGCTCTATAACTACATATACCCAGTGACTGCCACAATGGGCACTATAAATTTTTTTTTGTTTTTCAAATTTGTTATGTTTACCTATGTTTCTATTGTCATGGAAAGTTCTATTAAATAAGGCTGTTTTAAATAGCTTATATAAGCAATTACCATAAAACAATTAAGTCATGTAAGTATGGAAAAATGCTTGTAAATACAGTGGTTTTTTTTGCAGTTTTGCTTCCATTCCAAGGATTATTTCAGAGACCAGAACATACAAATCTAATTTGAAAACTGCACATACAAGTTGAATTTTACTTTTTCCAACTATGTAATTTTAATTTTCTAATTTTGTTTTTAATTCACAAATAATAATTGCATATATTTATAGGGCATAACGTGATGTTTTGATAATATGTTTAGAATGTGAATTACTTTCATATACTACCTTTATTATTACTAATTTGTACAATTATTTGTGAAGATGAATGGTGAAGGTAAAGACTATCTTAGATGAATCTAAATAACTGTGGTCAAAAACTTTTTGCCCTTTATGAAGGGTTTTGTATGCAATATTTTAAAAATTATTTTTTAAAACCTTTGTTATTCTAGCCTAAATACATAAAGATTATATATAGAAAAACCATAGCTAAAGGCAACTACTACAGCAAATTATTTAGTTAGACAACACAATATTTAAAAGTAAATTCTATCCAGGCATGGTAATACACACCTGCAATCTCCGGAGGAATTCAGGAGGCTGAGGCAGGTGGCTGAGGCAGGTTGGAGGCCAGCCTGGGCTACATAGTGAGACCACACATCAACAAATAAAAAGTAAATTTAAATGCTAAATCCCTTTCTTGTTTTTCTTGGGGGGGGCAGTATTTTAAAGAGAAAAAAGGCAGAAAAATCAAGAAACAAACATTTTAAAAACAAAAACAAATGCAAAATGACAATAACAGAAAAACACAATGGCAACAAAGGATTTGGACTGAACCCAAGGTCTCAAGCATGTTAAACAAGTGCTCTACCACCGATGTACACTCTCAGGTCCCCTAATCAAATCTTTTATAACCAACCTTTATAAAGTTATACTGAATTTCACTGAAATATTCTAAAAGTTGAACTTAATTTTCAAAACAGGTTTCATATAAAATATGCATTCAATAAAGCAGTCATATAAAAACACCCTGAACTATTTACAAAAATAGCAACTTGTCAATTCTCACACAAATTGTAGTAATTGACTGGCAACATTACTTTCTGTTAAATTTTCCTATCTTCTGCAAAAACTGAAGTTAGTTTAGATCAATTATCTAGGGCAAAGCTGTGAGTCACCAGTAAATGGCCATAGTAACTCTTTCAAGAGAAATACTTTCTTAATAACTAAAACTTGCATTAAATGAATGAAGATTGTTGACAGTCTAAAAGATATAGCTGATAAAATGTTTCCTAAACACAAATGATCAAATGATGAAATTATACTTATTTAATATGGATAAAACATTCAAGAATTTTCTTTAAAATCAGGGGTTTAGTTTAACAATAAAATTGTATTCATGAACAAAATAAATTTTTGAAAAATTTCCAATAATTTTGCCAGTATCCTTTAAGACCACTTTTGTCTCATCAAATTTCTGACCAATATTTTCTTACACTTAAATATTGTGAGATTTAAATTTGTATGCATTTTGACTAGTAAAATCTATCTGAAAAATACAGAAAATACTAAACTTTTATCCAGACACTTTGGAAACCAAGAATAATGTCTGAATTTGGTCAAATTCTTATTATTCATGGTGATAACTTCTTTAAACTTCAAACTACTTAAAATGTACCAAAACATCTCCTGAAATAATTTTTTGTGTTCAACCTGAGAAAACATCTATAATAAAATGTTATCATGAAGTAGTTAAAAGAATACTTTCTTATCAGGAGTAAATCAAAAGAACATAAGTCTAAGTCCGGAAGACTTAGGTCAAACAAATGTCATATCAATTCTAAAATTCTGAAGAATGTTTAAGAAAGTTACAGTGGGTATTTTGGACATATGTAAAACACATCTCCTTCTAAATCAGCACAATCTGCATCTCAACTCTGTTGTTTCAATTCTCTTGATAAATACTGAGTGTCTATTACATGAAAGTTATTACGTTTAACATTGTGGTTTATGCTTTCAACCACAGTTCTCTACTTGTCTACCTGTGCTTCACTGACATTCAGATTTCACCTGTCACTAAGTGCTAAATATGTTAGCTCTCTACATTGAAACAGCAACAATAACAATAGTTAGCAGTTTGCTACTATTCCCTCAATCAGAGATTCACGGCAGCATACTGCCTATCATTTTGTCTAGTCTAGAGAGACAGAACCATTATATATATATATCTTCCTACTCCAATTCTGTCTCCCTTTACAGGCAGAAAAAGAGCTCTGGCTATTTTTTCAGATTTATTTTGGAATTATAACTGAGAGGCTTATAGCCGATCCAACATTTTTAAGTGGGATGGCTGACGTTTAAATGCTTGAGTTGGGTTCATCGTCATCTCTTGGCTTTGGCTGTGTTGAAGGATTTGCTGAAAGCAGCTTTTGTAATTTGATCGTAGTATTCTTGAGGTTAGATCTAAACTTCCAGATATAGTTGTCAATGGCGAGCACACACAGCATCCAGTCACATCCATTTTCTGTTAGATCATAAACAGGATAGTTGTCTTGGAGAAACTCTGGTGATAAAGTCCCAAAACAGAACAGTTATTTTTCAGAGAAATGTAATCATCCCTAATTCTACTGCGCGCGCACACGCGCTCAGGGTTAAATTCAGGGCATCACTTACACTAAGCACACATTCTTCTACTGAGCTATACCTTCCACCCAGTGTCCTTAAAATTTTAACTAAAATGTATCAAATCTGCATCTAGCACACTATTTATTATCTCAAACACAGGAATGTTAAGCCTTTGTAATGTGCAGGAGGCTGCAGTGTCTTTAACCCTGGAAATGCAAGAAGCTGTAACTTCTGTTTTTGCTACTCCTGGATTTATATCAGACAAAAGGGATAAGGATTTTTGTATATTGCAATTATAGGATAACTTGTATTGGGGAAAATGATACAGTAATATAATTCAAGGAGCACTCTGTAAAAAAGTGGAAGAACAAACAAAGGTAAAGATGGAGAAGAGAAATCTTTATTAGAAGAGCAAAGTTGACTCTGATAGGTAATTACCTCAGTACTTTTGAGTCCTAAAACAAAAGAATTTGGTGATCCCTACAAGTTGGCATTAGTTTGCAACATTAACCTCACTTGTTTTTTTATTAGGGTTAACAGACTGATAAATCAAAACAATGCCGTTAACACAATATATATCCAAAATTTTTAGTAAGATATATCAAAGTGAAAACATTTTCAAAACCAAAGGAATAAAGAAAACAGCTATAGTAGGTCACTGGATTCAATATAAAGCTGTCTCCTGCTGAACTGAACATTTTTATTAACAATAGGAAGTTAGGGAAAGGCCTGTCCCATGTGCCCATGAAGAAAGCTGGATGGATAATTAACACATGGGAAGACAAATACACCATCCCAACCAAAGCCTGCAATAGGTAGTGACAAAGGGCCAACACTGGCTAGTGTATTTTCTGAAAAACTAGTCCTGGAAGAAGTTTCTTGGGGGAAAAGTCTCTAATTGTGTAAATGGGAAATGCTAGTCCCCCACGGGGGATATACATTACACATGGCATATTGAATGCTTTGAGAAATTTCATAGTAAAAGTACATATCATCAGTAACTGTCATCATTCAAAAATTATAAATGAAGTAGCTCTGGTGGGGCACATAAATGAGGGAGGTGGCAGTGCAGGACAAAAGAGCCAGATCTGGACAGAGCTGGCAGGCTTCACAGCTAAAAGCATTGGAAACACGTTTTAAATTTGAGAGTCTACTGAGATCCTTGAGGTGCTCGCTAAAGTCTTTCCAGATTTTATCTAAGAAGCACGTTATTCATGAAATACCTACCAAATCCAGATGTCTTCGAGAAACTGTTTGAGGAAAGCTGACCTATACTAACAGGATAAAATGCATGAAAAATAATATGAAATCCTATACTGACATTTAAAAATACAGAAGAAATGGTGTTATGGTTTAGAACTAAAATGTGCCCCAAACAGATCTCAATGTGACTGAATCATGGGAGCATTATACTCATCAGTGCATTTAGGAGATGGCACAAGGTTGGAAGTGGGTCACTGGGGGTGTGTCCTGAAGGGTGTTTTCTTGCCTTTTCTTAAAAGATTTGTGAAGTACTTCTTATTGCTACAGTTTTGTAGTTCTCTAATATACAGATATGGATGGAATAATGTATAAGAAGAAAGGGTTTTTTATTACAAATCTGTAGCCTATTAACTTTCTCCATATAAACTAGCCCCTAAAGAGCCCTTATACAAATTAACTCTTGTCAGAGAATTTCTTATGTGAAATAAATACCGTTAGTAAATGGATATAGTTATCTTTGACTACTGAGTTCTTTCCAAAAACATTTGGGATAAGAAATGATACCAGAATAATAACTTGGTTTATCCATTTAGCGGGATACTAATCATCAGTTAAAATATATGAACAGGTCTCCAAAAACAATGTAGAGGGATAAAAATATACAAAAGGATATGCACTATACATTCCCATTTATGAACATTAAAACAATATTATAAACATAGAACAGTATTATATATTAATTATGAATTTATTAACATAGATAACGTGGGAATGATCTAACTCCTGAACTGTGATTATTTCTAGGGAGAAAGAGAAGCAAAAGAGATGATGGGCTATAGTATTCATTATATCACTAATACCTCATTAAAATGGGTAAATGGGCAGAAAAGTATTGATTATAGTATTATATTTGTATGCATACATTTTTGTGTTTGCAATTGTTTGTAATAAAGTGATACTTTTATAGATTACATTAATGGCTGTAAGCCCAGGCTTTCTCCTACATAGGCATCGCCTGTGTCTGTCTGGTCACTCAGTTTTTGTTGGGGCTCTTTCAGTTTGCCAAGCTCACTTTATCTTTCTATAAAAGTGAAATATGCTTTCTTGATGGCTTATATTCATTCTTTGGGTCTCACTTTTCCCTTAGGGACAAAATGACTCCTCTGTATTTTCTACTGAAATAACTCACATGACTGTCCTTCTACAAAGCAATGGAACCTTGAATTTTATAAGAAATCTGTTAAAATATACCCTATGTGGATAATGTATCAGACTTGTGCGGAATACTTTTTACTGCAATAGACTATTTTTGATTTTCATATAATGAGAGAAAACAAGATGGAAAAACACAAAGCAATATTTTTCATAAACTTCTAGGAAATTAAGCTAGTTCAAACATTAAAGAGCTACAAAAGTTGCTTCCCTCACATTAAGAAAGACATTATTTCTTCTATAAATACATTCAATTCAAAGTTAGTTTAAAAAACTTTTTCTACTTTAAGGTAGGAGGACACTGGATTTAGGAATTTTGCCTGGTGGGCTAGCCCAGTGGTGTCTGAATTATAAGGTATGATTAGTTATTAGGTTGTGAAGTCAGTTGTAAAACAGTTAAAAGGAATATAATAGAACGTGGGTGTGGTGGCATGTACCTATAACTTCAGCCCTTGGGAGGCTTAGGCAGGAGGATCACCATGAGTTCGAGACCAGTCTAGACTACATAGTGAGTCTCAAGGCCAGGGTGAAATATATAGTGAGACTCTGTCTCAAAAAAACACTGGAATACAACTGTTAGAGAAAGAGAACACGTTGGGGAAACTTGCTTTTTTTTTTTTTAAACAAACCACACATACAGACTGTGACTAGGTCACAGAGTTAAGTTTTTGGGGTTTTTAATACAAGTTGCAGTACATTTTTAAAAGGCAGAAAAAGTTGAGTCAGATTAAAAAATCGGGTCAGATGACAGCAAATGCTTGCAAAAGAAGTAAGCAGTTTCTTTAGAATAAAATGCAATGTTGGGTTGAGGATTTAGCTCAGCAGTGTAAGCGCCTGCCTGGCAATCACAAGGTCATGAGGTCAATCCCAGCTACCAAGAAGTAAATAAAACAAAATAAAATAAAATAAAATGTCATTCCAATTTGCTATACATGAAGGAAGAACAAACCAAGAGCAGGTTAGGTGGGGTTCAGAGCAATGTCTTTCCGGGGCAGCAGAAAAACAAGAAAATATCATAATTCTTACTTTGTCCAAATTTGAGATTTCGCAGAATTATTTTTGGAAGCTTTTTCAACTTCATTTGCATATGTCATAAAACCACACTGTGCTAATGTTCATCATTTTAAAAACTAGCAAATTAACTTGCTGTGATACTGTTGACACTTCTTTCTACAAACTGATGAGGCCTTTCAATTAGGTTTTTTTTTTTTTTTTTTTTTGGTGGTACCGTGGATCAAACTCTGGACCTCATGCTTGCCAAGCAGGTGCTTATGCCACTGAGCTAAATCCTCAGCCTCCGAAGGCCTTTCAATTTTGACCTTAGGGCTCAATGAAGATATTTTAGTTTCCATATGCTCAGCAGGGAGTCACAGTCAATAACTCTTTTCCTATCCTAGTAAAGCCATTCAAGGAAGAGCAGTCAGCACTAAGAACCCAAATACAAAGAGAAATATAATTAATTAATTTACTTATTCTCTTAGAAGGGACTTAGTACAAGCACCACCTCTCCTCACAACATACACAAACTATGTGGATTCTTTTTTCTGCCCTTCTTCCCTAAAAAGACTGGCTTGTATTTATTTCAGTATACTCTACAAATAACAAACCTCGGAGGGCATTAATCCTATTGCAGTCAAGGGCACACAGGCCTTCATCTAAACTGCCATGGACGTTACTTCTGAGCAGGACATCTTCTGTGAACAGGTGGTGAAGGAGGTATTTGGCTGACTGCTGTGGGTGACACATGGATTTTGCTGTTTCCATTACTGAATTTGGTATCTTTATATGTCTGTATGGATTTCCAAAGTATCCTAAAAGCAAAAAAGAAAGACATCAGTTTTGATGGCACATGTTAGGTTGAACATTTTTTTTGTAACAGGGATCAAACTCATGACCTCGCACTTGCGAGGCAGGTGCTTACACCACTGAACTAAATCCTCAAGGTTGCACATTTTAAAGAGCTTTGACAGGGTAATTTTTCTGATTCTAGTGGGGATTAAAGCCAGGCTTTTCATGTCCCACTGAGCTATATATCGGGCCCTTTTTATGGTTTTTTTTTGTTTTTTGTTTTGTTTTGTTTTGTTTTGAGTCAAAGTGCAGGCCAAGCTCTAACTTGCAATCTTTCTACCTCAGCTTCCCAGAATGCTGGAATTACAGACATGGGCCACCATACTTGGCTGCTTTTTTCTGAATTTTTAGACATGAGAATTTGAGAAATTAAAAGAAGCCTTGAATTTTAGTGGATGAGAATGAGGCAGAAATCACTGCTAATGTGTTATACAAGTTCCAACTGTTTAAGGGAAAGATTTAGTGTTCTGTCACCTCTTAGGATACAGTAAGTTTTAAAATTACATTTACTATTAAATTCTATGTAGTTTTAAGTATTGTTTCTCTACTTACAAGAAAAGTTTTTTAAAATAAGCACCATGTTTTTCACTGAAAAATTTTAATTTTTATGTTTTCTATTTAGTATTAAACTTTTCATTTTACAAATCAACCAGTTGACTCATCTTAAATATAGTTTAGGTATATTTGAGCTGACAAAGTAAATGTTAATTTTAGCTTCTCATTTCTCCATTCTATAGTTTATCTTCATTTCTTTGCCATTTAGTAACACAAATTAACCATATTTGAAAAATACTGTACTTTGCATATAATAAAGAATTGTTGAGGAAAACATATTTGAAAAATTACTATTGTAAGTCAATAACCATTTTTTTATCTTGGAACACTCATCATTTAATGCATGGCAGAATAAATTGTTAAGTTACTCAGATCTAACATTTACCAAGAGTTTAAATTATTGAAACTCACTTAATGTGTCCAAAAACATAATTCTGAGACTAATCTCGTAATATTTATCAAGGGTCAGAAATGCAGCTTATACTCTACGATGGTAAGTTAATTTCTGAGAACCCAAGAAAACAATCCAAAATATTGAAAAAGCCATCCAAATGAATATAATTGTTTATAGTATGACTAATAATTCTCTCCCAAAAACATTTGTCAAGAAGTAATACACTTAGTTCAATAAACTTAGGTATACTGACTTGATGGTACTTTATAAATCTACTAAGCACAATGACTACAACGAGTAGATTGTTCATGAAAAATAAAGACACACTTTAAAGGAGGACAATTGTATATAGAGACCATAATGTTTCAAAAGGTTTGTAAGAAGAAAAAAAAAAAAAACAACAACAACAATGAAAATGCCCACCACAAGATTTTTTTTTTTTACAAAAAAGATATGTTGATTATGGAAACCTTTCCTTCCTTTTCAATATTTTCTAGTTTTTAAAATAAAATAGTGTAACAAGTACATACAACAATGGTGGCTGCTTGGTTAACAATGTACTTAGTTGCCCTGTTCCCTGACACAGTCTATAAGAGACCTGTAACACAAGCTCCCCAGATGAGTTATTTTTTCTTTTCCCCAGCATTGGGGCCACTCTAGATCCTTCTGCCATAGTTTTGGTTTGTGCTTTGCTTCTTTAAGTACAGGAGGTAGTTATCTGGTGATTTTTGTTTAATTTGCCAAGTCGGTTTTTACAATGTGTATAACCTTAACAGATATAGCCGTTAGGTTGCTTTTATAATGGAAAAATATAATATAAAAATACATTGCTTCAATAATTCAATTTGAACAGGATCCCAGGTAATAGTCTACCAACAGTTGACATGGGACACAGGGTACAGACACAATAAAGTTTTGCCACTTTAGGGACACTTGCTGATAGTGATGATGCTAAAGGCCAGCACTGAGAGGCACAAATGGCTGGTGGAACTGTCTCCTACAGAACCACTGCCACTTGACACAGAAGTAGAACATGACTTCAATAGACACCTGGCAGTAGGAATGCAACATTTATTTTATGCCAAAAACTCTCACTGAGCATGAACAATGTGCCAGACACAGAGAATAAACTTCAGGCTGATGACAGCTGTAGCTCCTTCCCCTTCACCTGTAAAGGCTGGTGCCTCCTTTGAGAGTTTATACTGCCAGATGAGTGATAAAAGGCTGTTCTCCACGGGAAAAATAAAGGATTCAGCTTAACTTTACAAATAACCAGTTCTACAACCAGGCATCTATATTTCATTAGCTTGTTAATATAAGAGGTTCAATAGCTCTAATCTCTTTTGAAATTTTTTCCAACACATGAAAAGGTAAAGAGAATAGTACATTGAGTCCCTGGAACACATCACCCAGACCCAATATGTATCTGAAAAATAATTTACTTTTAAAACTCACCTAGTGACTCAGGAGTTATCACTGCATTATGACTACCATCAGGCTTAGCATTATTTCTCTGCAAAGAATTCTCATTTTCTCTTGTTTGTAAGGCCCTTTTCTATAGAGACAACTGAGAACTACCCTCACCACCACAATCTCTTCAAGCATTCACATGCATAGATGTCAGTGTAATGGGGTTGGGCGTCTTTATTTTTGCCAACAATGTATAGACCAAGTCCTGTAATTACAAGGTATATACAGACACTACTCTCTTAACAACCAAGTTCTATTTCTGCAAGTAGGTTGTTGAATGAGTTATCTGTCTTAGATACTTTTCTCATTGCTGAGACAAAATGTCTGACACCCAAAGTTAAAACAAGGAAAGATTTATTCTGGCTCACAGTTTGTAGAGGTCTCAGTTCATGGTTGGCTGGCTCCAAGGCAGGGTGGCATGGCAGAGGGGCATCACAATGGAGAAACAGTTCACAGCAGGCAGAAGGTAGAAAAACAGCAGAAAACAACAACAGTGGCACTCCTTCTGTCCTTTATATTGTATCCAAACCACCTGCTCTAGCACTCACACTCTTAATCCTAGCACTATTAATCCTATAATTGCAACATGAATCAGTCCCAGCATCATATCCTTAAACTCAGCATCACACAACCTAGATTCAGTCACTTCTGAAAAGCCCCATGATTACATGAGGCTTTGGGAGGACATCTAGATACAAGTCATAACAGTTGCTAACTGAGGAATTGTATATAGTATGTACATTACAATATTCACAACAAGGAAATGGTCAAAGAAATTTCCAACTTGATGGCTTTGTTTTTATTTACATGTAGTATTATAATGTATAAAAGAACATGAAATTATAACACTGTAAAAAGTACAATACTATACTGTAGAAGAAGGCACCATAAGGCAGCATTACCACACACATTCCCGTGTCCTAAGTCCAAATATGGGTTGTAAATGTAAATGGTGGGTTGTAAGTCCAAACAGTCATTAATTAGGGAAATCATTAAATGAAGAGTATCTTTACATGCTATAGCATCTAACAGGAATCCCAAGGCTGGTAGGGAAGCAACATCTCTAAAAAGGTGAGCTGACATTATACAAATACTGTGTGCCACAATACTATCTGAAAGGAAGCAGAAGTGTGAATGCTTCCTCACAGTACCATAACTTGCTGTTTGTCAGGGACTTGGTAGCTCAGTTCAATGAACTGAACAATAATTTGCACAAAATAAGTGCATGATAAACATTCCATGAATAAATGAGTTTCTTGGGGATGACAATTTTTGTTTGTATTTAACATTTGGTTTATTTACTTTTTTTTTCCCTAGTGGGTTTCTAACTTGGTTGTACATTTGAATTACCTTAGGGATCATTCTTTTAAAAATAGTCATGATGGGCCCTACTTTCAGTAAACTCAACCAAAATCTCTGGTGATGGAAGAAGACAGTCATTTTTAAAAGTGTTTTTAAAAGTGTCTTACATGATTTCAATATGCATCCAGAAGTAACAATCATTGCTCTAGACAAGGGCTTCTAAAACTTTAGTGTGTTTGCAAACTACCTGGAGAGTATTGCTAAAATGCAAACTCTGCATCAGTAGGTCACATATAGAAACCAAGGACTGCACTATATGCTGTCCAGAGCTGCATAACTATCTGTTTATTTGTCAAGCACACAGCAGGCACCTGGCAGATGTTGCTTCTCTTCTGATGCTCAAGCATATATGCAAATTATCATTTTCCAGGCAGCATCTTAATTTTACATGCAAATTGTTTTGGGTGCAGTTTTTGAAAGCTATATAATGGAATGTTAAAAATAAGCAGACTGGTTTCAGACAGATGGTGCTTGAGCTATCACTGAAATCAAGCCGTTCACCAGGAAAACATACGCTCAAATACACATATTCTTGGCAAACAGTTTTTATAAACTTACTCTACAAAGATAAAGATAACTAGCCAGGGCAATAATAAAGTGGAGTTTTTAGAGAGGATACTGGAAATCGGAAATTGTCATTAAGTTAAATATTTTATCAGAAGACAAAAGATACAGTATTTTCCCTAATTTTTTTAGAATAAAAAAATGTCTCTAAAAACTCTGAAGATAAAATGGTTGAGAAGGAAATTAGATACTTTTTAACTGTTTAGGGTGTAAATTATCTGTGATCGTACAATCTTGAGACAAGCATTCTTTTTACCAGGTTCTACCATCACTAGAAGGAAACAAGTTAAGAGGGCCTGTCTAAAGGTCCTCAGCCACCAGAGAAACAGTCAAGGAACATACACACCTGGCTCCTTTTCATGTTACTCGGTGAAATAATAGAAAAGATTTTATAAACATCTTTGTAGCTGAAGCTTGTTCTAGTATAGCCCTTAGTTTCATGTGTACTAATCATAACAATGTATTTGATTTTTCCTTAGGCTATTTTATAGTATATAAAAGTCAAGTAGTGAAACTGGCACTATGCTTTTGAAAGAATGAGACTGTCCCCTTAATTAAGTAAATGAGATGTTTAGCATATGGCCTGAAGACTCTGTGTTATACTCAGTTACAGCATTGTATGTAGTATAGATTTATGCAGTAGTTATCATACTTAGATAAAAAATAAGTTACTGCAGTAATTTTGGCTTTAGAACACGAATAACAAATCAGAGAACTGATACAAGAAATATAGGCTTTCCAGTCTTTTCCATATTCACTCAAATCAAAGTTGGGAAAAAGTATTGCCAGATATTTTGAAAATGGCAGAAAGTATTCAGGAAAATTTGAAATGAAATTAACAAAAAAGAATAATAAAAATTGTATTTAAAATAAGCCACAATTTTTCCTCTTCCTGATTGTTATTCCTTTCTTTATTCATTCTGAGAGTTTACAAGTTTCACCCAATGGGGATGCTCTGCCAAATTATCATATTTCTTGTCACACAAGTTACCCTAAAAAACACTGACCTAGGAAGTCAAATAAGGCCATGGTACTTTTAAAAATGTGTATAACCAAAAGCCAAATCTTACAAGGTGCTAAAGCTATCTAATATTTCAATGGGTAAGTTAGAACTAAGAAAGGACAATCAGTAAAGAGGAAATAGAGTCATTGCAAACATTATGACACCAAGATTTATTTCCTTATGCACTCACTCTATCTTGCCCATAAGGTATCTTTCTGACCAAAACATCTTTCCTATATCCTTTACCTAGCTAAGAAGTCTTCTGATTCAAATACCTGTCCTTAGAAAAGTCTACTCAAACCTCCTCAAAGAAGGTTCTCTATTCTCTGAGCTTTGTCTCATCACCACCACACTGGTCTGGAATTTCTGTTGCCTGAAGTGTCCCATTCTGGACTTAGAGCTCCTTGTGGGCAGAATGCATCTTCCTTGTGGTGTCTTCAGTGCCTATGCATTCTAGGGCCTCAATACAACAATTCTGGAGGTGCATTAATTATGAGATTCTATTTCACGATTGTTAGTCACTAACACTATAAAGTCTGATTTTATTCTCATATCCTTCACTTATTTAGCCTCTTTAATTTTTCATATCAAGTTTTAGCACTAAAAAAAGGACTTATTACTCACCATAAGCAACTAACATCAGGAGACTTTGTCTTAGTGCATCAATCTATGGACAAGTTTTATTCCTTAGAAGTTGTTTCCCATTACATATCACAAAATTGTAAAATCAGAGTCAGCCAGATGACTATTATGAACTCTCCCACCTGTGATCCTGTAAGCTTACCTAATAAATCTACTTGTACAATTATTAACATATTTTCTATTAATCCTGTTCCTCTAGAGATCCCTAACCAATACAGAGGTTGGTACCAAGCGAAGTTCTACTAAAGAAACAGGATTGTAAGCATGAATTTCTCTAATCCATTTAATGGATCCTTAGAGTTGGCCCTCTAATTTGGGGGCTTTTATCAGCTCTACATTGAGAATCAAGAGCAAATGATTTTTAAAGTTAAAATTATTTTAAAAGCTTTGAGTTTGGCCAGAAAGAAAGCTCTGGTAAAGATGGGGATCGTACAGATAGAACAGAGATTTGGCTGCTGAAGAAATTAGCATAAAAATGAATCCATGAACTTTGGACTAGGACAATAAAAAAGATAGACTGAGGGCATCACAGCAACCAGCAGGACCTCCACCCTTTCAAGGCTCAAAATTGCAAAATTGAAAAACTTTGCTTCAGGGTACCATACTCCAGAATAGGGGTAGCCTAGAGAACACCATTTGATTCCCTAGGCTTCAGGTCAACTTGCTTATTCATCTAGGCCTTCGGAAACCTTTGCGACTACTAGCAAGAACCAAAAGGGTCCAGCTACCACTCCAGTCAGCAGCACCTTGGCACCATCCACATAGTGCTGGTTATGCATGAGTTGTGGGGTTAGGAAGGCTTCCACTCAGATTTCAGAAGAAGGCCTGGGAGCCTAAGAGATAGAGACCTGAGAGAGCAGTTCATGAAGCTGTGAGAGGAAAGCCTAAAGTACTATGGAGACCCCAGGATATTGGAAAAACCAGTAATGTGAATCATCTGAGGAAAGCCTCACTGAGTGAGCAAAGAAAGTCCACAAGAGAAGCAGTGAGAGCTGCAACCACCTATAGTACCATAGGGGCAGGGCCACACAACTGGTTTACAGTTCATTTTGCCACAAATTGCCTTTTGTGCTAGACACAGAACTATGTGATTTAATGTTTTCCCTGATGGGTTTTGGTATTGCTTTGACCCCATTCATTTCTGTCATTCTATTTCTACCTTTTACAATGTGAATGTTTACCCTGTACCACTGTGTCTTGGAATAGTTTAACTTCCTTTTCATTTTTACAGGGGCTCACAGATAAAGAGTTTGCCTTAAAACTCAGAGGAAACTTTGTATTTGGACGTTTTAGCAATGTTAAAAAAATAAGACTTTGACAACTCTTAGAAATAGACTGAACGCATTTTTCACAGAGATGCACAAGCATTTTGGGAATCCAGGGACAGAATGTTATGATTTATATAAAATTGTCCCCAAAGCTTTATGAGCTCATAGGTGGAGCTTTTGGCAGGTAACTGGATCTTGGATATGATACTGGATTAGTTCACTGAGATCCTTCTCTTCCCTTGAGAGTTCACTGCTTCTTGCCTGCCATGGCTCTGTCATGCTACCCTTGTAGCCAGCCAACAATCGATTAAAACCTCTCCAATTATGAGCCAAATTTGAAGTCTTTTTTCCTTTTAAGTTGTGGGTATCAGTTATTGTGTCTCCACTATGAAGAAGTAAATAAAACGACCAATACAGCAGAAGTCATTTAACTAATTCCCTATTGTTTATTTGTTGCTCATTTTTCATGATTCCACAAAAGGATATTCTTTTTTTTTTTCAGCTATATAGGAGGCTTTTTCGGAGGTGAAGACAACTCTGTCTTCCTAGAAGACAACTCTCCCACTTGGCTTTATAAGTCAGATAGCAACTGCAAGCCATGGAAGGAGAGGGCTTGAGCAGGCCTCAATTAAAAGGACATTCTTATACCAAATTTTTAATGTAAATATTTTATCATAGCTTCAGACAGAAGTGGGATTACTAAATCAACTGGCATAAATAATTTACATATATTTGGATTTTAACAGAAACTACCCCTCAGAAAGTGCTTGCCAATTTATAATTCTAGTAACACTGCACCAATGTGCTCATTTTAGTACAAAAACTGTATTTTTTCAATATTTCTTCTAGTTTTGGTAACAAAACAATTTAAAGAAAAGCCTCTTCCTTCAGCAAACTGGTCTCCAGATTGATCTCAATGCCTGTTTGTATAATGAAGATGTCCACACTTGTCCCTTGACCTACTGTCCCTGGATGCTTTTTTGTTACAACAGCAGAGTTGAGTAGTTCAGACTGACAATACTATCTATCCTTTTACAGACAAAGTTTACTGACTTTTGCTCTAGAACATTAATTAGAGATAAGGACTCAGGAACGAAGACCTAAAGGAACTATGAAATATTTGGAAGGCTTGCCCCTAGAGACCAAAGAGCCTGGGGTCCCTTCATCTCTACCACTGTGGCTGGGAAGATGGTACAGGAGACTGGTAAGCAACATAAGTTTTAAAGTTAAAGAGAACTAGGGTAGAGTTCAGTGTCACTCATCTGCTTTGTGAACTTGAAAATTAGAACAATAAAGTACTAAGACACCATGCTGTGTTTATGAGTATTAAGTGAGAATAGGTACATCATTTGATCAGCACAGTGCCTTGCATATAAAATGCACTCAATAAATGCAAGTCATCATTGTATCACCTAAAACCAGCCCTCAAAATAGGAAACAAAAAGCTTCCACTAGTGTGCAGGAAAAATGCTGATGAAACAGTTAAACAATGCTACTTCTAATAAGTATCATTTCAAACTTACCAAAACTATGAGGATGAGAAGCAGATGATGAGGAAGGATGTTGACAATCACAGCTTGTCAGGAAGTCTGGGTGATTCATTGCACCAAGGCTGTTTTCCATATTGATTTCTGTTTCAACCAATATTTCTGTAAGTAAAAGAATTAAAAGAAAGAAGCTCTCAACTTCATATTCTGTATCCAGTCAGAATTGTTCTTTGGCTGTGAGGGGGAAATAAACACATGAGAGACAAGTGAAAAGCAAAAAAACATTTGTCACCAGCACACCTACTCTTAAAGAATACCTCAAGGAAGGTTTTTAGACAGAACATTATGATGAGAGTAGGAATCCTGGAGCATCAAAAAGAAAGAAAGAACAGAAATACACATATGGATAAACTAGACCATTCATATATCATTGGGGGAGATGTAAAAAATGAAAAACAATTTGGCAGTTTCTTTTAAAACTACTTGTCCAATTAACACATAACCTAGTAATTTCACTCTTGGGCATTTATCCTAGAGAAATAAGAGTCCATTCTGACACAAAAACCAGCACATGAGTGCTCTTAGCAGCTTTATTTATGATAGCTCAAAGCCAAAATCAACTCAAGTGTCGTTCCATGATTAAAAAAACTATAATACATCTATATTGTAGAATACTACTCAACAAAATAAAGGAAGAACAGAAATATAGGTGAATACAAAACTGTCATGTTTTCTAAATCATATGGGATTTCTGAAACCAAAATAAAAGCTCCATATGATACTTAAGCCAATAAAATTTAAAAGTGAAAAGAGCAAAGGTAATTAAGAAGAATTAAACTTTAAAAAACTTTACTTCAAGCCAAGCATAGTGAACACACCTGAGAGGGTAAGGCAAGAAAATCATGAGTTCAAGGCCAGCCTGGGCAACATAGCAAGTTGGTGGCTAGACTGGGCTAGTTAGACCTCATTTTGAAAACAAAACAAGAGGGGCTGGAGATTTAGCTCAGTGGCATAAGTGCCTGCCTTGCAAGCAGGCAGTTGTGAATTCGATCCCTGGTATTGATAAAAAAGGAAAAAGACAAAAAAAAAAAAAAAAGAAAAGAAAACAAACAAAGAAAAGAAGACTTGATTCCAAGTGGTAAAATGTTCATACCAACAGATTGTGGTAAGTGATATATGTATACAATAACCTAGAGCAACCACCAGGAAACCTATGCAAAATAATAGGTTTACATACTTCTCTAAGAAATTAATGGAGGCTTTGGGATAGTTGATATCACACTTTTGAGATTTCTCATTATCTAATTAGGGGTGGGCCATCCTCTTCCACCTACTAAGTCTAAAACTAAAACCACTAAAACTGTGACTACTAAAACTAAGACTACAAAAACTAAAGACAAGACTGAGACCACAATTATTGACTAAGGTAATGATGTCACTCATGTATTCTTGCTACATTAGATCAATATGACCTAAGCAACTATATTTGTAATCGTATTGATCGATCATAATTTTGATCCATGTTTTACCCACCTCATGATTTTGCTCTATAAAACTTCCTTTGCAAGGTGGGCTCATTGGCAACTCATTCAGGACCCCTTATGTCTCTCAGTAGCTAGTCCTAGTCCCCATTCCCTCATTCCTAATCTCCATTCCTTTTCTCCAAAAGTTTTTCTACTCTTAAAAAATAAGAAACAAATTAAGATGTAATGCTAAAAACTATTCAAGTAACCTAAAGGCATGAAAGAGAAACACAGCAATGACAAACAAAAGAAAGAAACTTCTCAGGGTGGTGGCACATGCTTGTAATCCCAGGCTGAGGCAAGAGGATCGTTGCAATTTCAAAACCAGCCTGGCCTACAAAGTGAGCGCACAACTAGCTTGAGCCTGAACTTCATAGCAAGTCCTGTCTCAAAAAAGGCAAAAAAAAAAATAGAAAAAGAAGCAAAACAAATGAAGCCACAAGTGATGTCACATGCCTATGATTCCAACACTCTGGGAAGCTGAGACAGGAGAATCACAACTGTAAGCCTAGCCTGGGCAACCTAGCAACTTACCAAGACCTAACTCAAAAAGTAAAAAAAATAAGAAGTTCAGGGTATGTAGATCAGTACAAAGACCCTGGGCTCAATCCCCAGTATTGAAAAAACTTTAATAAAATAAAAAGAAATAATAATAAAAGTAGATAGGGTCCTTAAGATGACAATAAATATCTTAAATACAAATGGTCTAAATCAATTAGATGGCAGCAATAACAAAGTAGATAAAAATAAGATGGAACTATATGCTGTTTTTAAGAAATTCTACAATTTCAATAGGTAAATTGAAAGTAAAAGGGTGAGACAAGTGTGAGGTCCATGCCTATAATTCCAGCACTGTTCTCAGAGACTGAGGCAGGAATATTGCTGTGAGCTTGACTAAGACCAGCCTGGGCCACATAGTGAGTTTAAGGCCAGCCTGACCTCCATAGCAAGACATTGCTTTTGTTTTCAAAAGACATAAAACAAAACAAAGCAAACAAAAAAGTAAAAGAATGAAGAATATGAAGATGGGCATGGTGGTGAATGTCTGTAATCCTAGTACAATGGAAGGTTGAAATAGAAAGATCACAAGTCCCAGTTCAGCTTAGGTAATTTATCAATTTATCAAGACCTTGTCTTAAAATAAATTAAAAAGGCTGGGAATGTAGCTCAGAGCAAAGGCCTTGGATTCAATTCCTAGTACTGAAAAAAAAGTAAAAGGATGAAAAATATGTTTCATATAAACATCAATCCAAAATTAAAGCAGCAGAAAATAAAGTTACTAGAAGAGAAAGGATGTTGTATATCAATGAAATATTAAGCCCCAGGAAGATATAATGATCCTCAATGTGTACACAGGAAACAACAATCTCAAATACTGAAAGAGCTGAAAGGAGAAACTGAGAAGTCCACAATTATAAGTCAACCTCAACACCAGCTCCTCAGCAACTGATAGGACAAGACAAAATAATCAAAGTCATAGAAGAACCTGCATAACATGGACCACTCAACGAGACTCACATTATAGAATATTCCTCCTACAAAAGGGAGACCATACATAATTACATGCCTTACCTCTAGAATATTCAACAAGACAGATCACCATCTGAGCCAAAGAAACAAATCCCAACAAATTTAAAAGAACAGAAATCATACAGGGTATATTTTCCAACCACAATGGAACCAATAATAAGACAACAATCAATTCACTAAACACTTGAAAATTAAACAGTATACACCTAAATAATCTACATGTCAAGAGGAATTTTATGAGGAAATTAAGAATTATGTTAGACTTATAACAATACAACACACCAAAACATATTGATACAATAACTCAGTAACAAAAGTAAAAATTATAATACTAAATACTCACATTAGAAAAGAGGAAAGGTATCAAATCCCTAATCTAAGTTTCTAAGACAAAAGCTAGGAAACAAAACAGAAGTAAGAGAATGAAATAATAAAGAATATATATCAATGAATCTGAAAATATGACAAATAGGAAATTAATAAAGCAAAAGTTGATTACCAAAAATCTGATTGTTATTAACAAACTTCTAGAAAAACAAAAATAAAGAGGTAACATAAACCATAAACATCAAGAATGAGTCAAAGGATATCACTGCATATTCAGCAACCATTGAAAGAACGATAAATACTACAATCCTATTGCACTCATTTTTTTAGTAACTTAGAAAAAATGGACCAATTCTTCTAAAACTAGAAACTACCAAAACTCAATCAAGGTGATACATGTAATATAAATAGTCCTATAAACATCAAAGAATTGGGATTTGCAAGTGAAAGTTATCCTCAGACTCAGATTATTTTACTGGACATTTTTATCAAATATTTAAAGAATTAAAATCAACTTTTCATATACTCTTCCATAAAATAAAAAACAGGAATCACATAGCTACACCATGTATAGGGCTAGTAAGTACTAATACCAAAACCAGACAAAGGAAGTCAAAATAAAGAAAACTGCAAATCAAGAACTTTTATGAAAGTAGACGAAAGAATTCCTACTCAAATATTTTCAAATAAAATACATAATGTATACCAAGAATTACATACTGTGATCAAGTATGCAAGGCTGGTCAACCCTGAAAAATCAATCAAGATAAGCAACTGCCTTAACAGGCTAAATATGAAAAACCATGTGAACACTGACATAGAAAAAGCATTTACCAAAATCCATCACCCATTCAGGATAGCTCTCATCACATTAGGAAAAGAGTGAAACTACTTGAATTTATTATGAAAAGCCTAAAGTTAATATCATACTAAATAGTGAAAAACTAAAATAGTTACCACTTAGATCAGGAACAAGACAAGGCTGTTTACTCCCACCTCAGACAAAAGACTTATATCTACAATATATAAAGAATCAAACTACCAATAGTATTTCTTATAGACCTCGAGAAAAAGGACCAGGGATTTATCTCAGTGGCTCAAGCACTTCCCTGGTAAAGTGTGAGGTTGTGACTTCGATCCCCAGTACAAAAAAAAAAAAAAAAAAAAAAACCTTGAGAGAAAAATCCTAAAATTCATATGGAACCAGAAAAAGAACTGGAATAGCAAAAGAAATTCTGGGTACCAAGAAAAAAGCATCACAATCCTAGATTTCAAGTTATATTTCAAAGTGACAGTGATTTAAAAAAAATGACAGTGGCAAAAAAATGTAGATCAATGGAACAGAATAAAAAATATATAAATAAGCCCAGGCACATTCAGCTATTTGATCTTTGACAAAGGGGCCAAAACCGTACAATAGAGGAAACATAGTGTCTTTAAAAATGGTGTTTTGCCTATTCCCCTTCTGGGTATCTTCTCAGGAGAATTAAAACATTGTACTACCGTTATATATGTGTACACATGTTTATAGCAGCACAATATGTAATAGGTAGATCTTGGAAACAACCTAAATGCCCATCACCCAAAGAATGGTTTTAAAAGATTTTTATATGATGGAGTACTACTCAGCCATAAAGAAGAGTAAACTTGAGACTTTTGTACATAAATGAATGTAACGAAAGACCATACTCATAAGTGAAATAAATCAGACTCACATGTGTAAATATTTTATTTTCTTCTTAGTGTGAAAGCTGAAAGAAATTTACATATATGTATATGTTTCCCTATGCAGTTCAGGTTGGTCTTGAGCTTTGTAGCTTGGGCTATTCACGAACTTGCAACAATACTCCTGCCTCAGCCTCCAAAGTGCTGGGATTATGGGTATTCATCATCACACCCAAGTATATATACACATTTGATAGTTAAGACAAGTTATACTACTGATTTCTCTTTGTTCACTGGGGAAATGTTTGTGTGCCAATATTGTTTGGACCATTAAATGCAGATATCTTGTACTCTGAGTAACTAGTGTGGAGATGGCAGTGCACAGTGTATTAACCATTGTTGCCCTCTAATTATCTTGTTTTGAAATTTTATTGTTTTTTTCTCTTTAAAATAAAATAAATAAAATGGTGTCGGGAAAACTAGGTTTTACAGGGTTTGTGGGCAGCAGCAGCATCCAAGTCTGCTCCTTAAGATAATGATTAGAATTCTGGACAAAGACCTCAGTAAAGCTAACTTTCTTGCTCAAATACATATTCATGTCCTAGTTAAATATTTTGTCAAGTACATCACATTGTATCTGCATAAAATTAAGTAAACTGAAGTTGGTTACTAAAGCAAAAAGGCTAAAATTTTTAAAAAATAACGGAAACATCAAACACTAGTAAAGATACAGAGAAAGCAAATTACTCACATATTGCTAGGAGGAAAGTAAAATGGTTTACCCACTCTGGAAATAGTTCAATACATTCTTATAATACTAAACATTCAATTACCATACCACCAAGCAAATAACTGCATGAAAAATATGTTCACACCAAAACCTACACACTATTACTATTACAAGCACTATATTTACTATTACAAGCACTGCTTGTAATAGTAAAAAAACTGGACACAATCTAGATGTCCTTTAAAGAGTAAATGGATAAACAAGCTATAATGCATCCATACCACAGAATGGTACTCACCAGTAAAAAGGAAGGAACTATTAAATGCAAAAGGCTACTTACTACTCAGGCAAAAAACAGATAAATCTCCAGGAAATTATTCTTGTAGAAAAAGTCATTCTCCAAATTTAAACCCTATTTGAATCTGTTTGTATAACATTCTTGCAATGACAAAATTATAAACAGGAGAACATACTAGTAGTTGGGTGGGTGCATGAAAAGGTCAGGGAGGAATGATATGAAGGTAAGTGTAGCTATAAAAAATCAACAACATGGGTTCTGAAGCTGATGGGATAGCTCAAGATTTGATGTACATCTGAACCTGCACATGATGTATGATTGCAGAGAATGAAATACACATGCAAACATAAATGATTAATACAGAGAAATCTGAGGACATGTAGTAGATCAATACTAGTAACTAAAATCAATTGTATCAATGTTAAGATCTTAGTTTTGATATTTTATTGTTTTTTGCAAAATATTATTACTGAGGGAAACTGAGTAAAGAATATACAATATTTCCCTCTATTGTTTTTCAGGCTGGCCTTTAATTCTGAAATATCTCAAAATGTTTTGAAACGTTATCACTAAGAAATAATATTAAGAATACCAATGAGTCTAGAATAGAGTGCTATTTGCAATATGAATCATTACAAACTCACCAAAACTGGAACTGATGGAAGAAGATTCTGTATTACTATTTTGATCACCGTTATTTTCCATTAAATTTGGACCATCCATTGACATGGGTCTCATTTCTGTGCTTGATTCTGTTTTGAGCAACATTTTATTTTTTATTTTTATAGTACATGTTTGTAGTACATAATGATTACATTGTGAGGAGCTGGTAGCTATGCATAACACATTTTAATATGTAAAATATTTTCACATGGTGAAAGACAAGACATCTCACCTGCTGGTGTGAAGGAAAAACAAAGGCATTCTCATACAAAGAAACAGTTACTTTAAAAGTTATCATTGGATGACTTACACTTAAAGAATGACGAAAGGAAGATCTTCACTCTGAAAAGATATGATGAAGGAAGAAATCTTACAGTATTAAAAAAGGAACAAAAAAGCTAAAAAGACCAGGAGTGGTTGTAGGGAAACTAGATCACTCCTGCAATTCTTGATGAACAGAAAATAGTACAGTCACTCTGGAAAGCAGCTGGGTAGTGTTTCATGAAACAAAACACACAGCATGTAAACCAGCAATTGCACTCCTAGGGGGTATCTTAAAGAAATGAAAGTTGTATGTTCACACAAAAATCTGTACGAGTGTTCATATCACCTTTAATTCTAAATACAAAAAACAGTAAACAACTCAGATACCACTTAATGTGTGAAAAAAGAAATGAAACATGGTATATCTATACCATAGAATAGGACTCAGCAGCAAAAAAGAAAAACTACTGATACATGCACTGACTTGGATGAACCTCCAAAGAATTATGGGTAGAATATGAGTCCATTTATATAAACTACAAAATTTTTTAAAAATTTAAAAAGGAGAACAAATAAGTGGTTGCAAGTGGCAGGGATAGAAAAGAACAGAAATAGACAGGTTAAAGGAGAAAAATGGATTTGGCTTCAAAGGATAACAGGTGGGATCCTTATTTCTATATCTTAACTGGATTATTTGGAAACCTCATCATGAAAACAAACACACACACACACTCACATACAAGTAAAAATGAGAACATCTCAATAAAATCTGATTTATCTGCAACAATATTTTGGTTTTGACATTTTACTACATATTTGTAAGATATTCTCACTGGGAAAATTCTGTGAAGCTGCAATTTCCACAAAATAACTTAATTTTTCATTTAAAAGCTGCTATCAGCTCACATAAAGAGAGTAATGGTAAACCTTTTAGAGATTTCAATGTAACAAAGAGCCCGCTACAGCATGCCTGCCATAGGTTCACCACGACTAATCTAGACTAACTAATCTATGCATAGTATACATCTTTTCAAACTTACCAGGACTGAAAGAACTACTTATAGATGAATAGGAAGACAGATCACTATCAGACTCCAGTAAACGTAATTTGTTCATTGGCCAGCGTTTCTTTTCAAGGTTACTTTCTTCTTCCTTCAACATTCCTACAAAGAAAACATTTTTGAAATGCTGTAAGAAAACACTCGTAATCATACTGTATATCCACCAAGAATCAGGTGAAAATAAAGATAGTCACAAAGAAAAACCAAAAGTATTTCTTACTAGCTGACTCTTATTTTAAAATGCCTAAAGGAAAATCTTTGATCAGAAAGACTATGATAGAAGAAATGGATCATCAGGAAGGAAGAAAGAACAGTAGAAGAGAAACAGTATGGCTACTGAGAAACTAGCACCACCATACATTTCTGGTAGAAATGGAAAACAGTACAGTTACTGGAAAATAATTTATCAGTTTCATATAAAACTAAAGATACAATTACCAAAGGACCCAGCTGTTGCATTCAGTAATAGAGAAATTAAAATGTGTGTTTGCATGTAGCACTACTGAATCTAGATCCATTAAACAAAATAAATGAAATAAAGAAAAACTAAAACCTTAAATGAGCATTTACAGCAACACGATGCCTACTAGACAAAAACAAGAAACCTAGTGGTTTCAACGGATAAACAGATAAACTATAGTGCATCTAGACTAATGGGGAGGAAGAATGATTCACCACAATATGGGTGAGTCTCAGAGAATTACACTGAGAAGAAAAAATACTACAAAAATGTTACATACTACATGATTCCATTTATTTTATTACTGAAGGGACAAATTACAGATCTGGAGAACAAATTAGTGGTTGCCAGCAGTTAGACACAGAAGGTGGGAGGGGAACAGTGATTGAAGGAAAGTTAATGCGACTGAAAAAGAACAATACAAGGGATTATAGTGGTAATACAGAACAATACAGTGGTAATAGAACTATTTAAGGGCTTCATGTAATAGAAGAAACATTGCTCTACACTTAAGGTAAAATTGAACTGACACACACATACACACACATACATATGCATACAAATGAATACAAGTAAAACTAGGTACATCTCAATATACAAGGACCATATCATACTAATATCATAGAAAACATTGCGTAATAGGAACACAGGCTCTTGCTGCATTATTACAACTGTATATGTAGCTAAATATTTTCCTGAAATTTACAAAGTTTATTTAGAAAAAGCTATCTCTATCTTGCACTAAACATGTTAATGAATCTAGATTCGATAGTGATACATGTAATATATGACATTTAAAATTCAACAGAATGGTGGAAGTTGCAGTGAGATAATGTAATTTTCTAATAAAGGTAAGTAATTTGTCTTCGGCCTCCTTTCCAGGCTAGTTTGTACTTTTTGCAAATATTTCTATAAATAAATTTTTTAAATTCTATAAATAAATATTATGAAATATTGAAAAAAGAATCTCAATCATGAATTCTATATCAGGCAAAACTATTTTTCAAGAATGAAAGGAAATATACTCTCACATGACAAAAAACTAGAAGTATTTGTCATTAGCCAAGATAATGGAATATGCTTATAATCTCAGTTACTTGGAAACCTGAGAGGAGTGCCTGAGCCATGAATTTGAGACCAGCCTAGAAAATATAGCAATAATAAAATAAAACAAAAAAATGCTTTTAAAAGGTCATTTTTTTTCTTTTATTTGTGCTCTTGAACAATTATCCTAAAGAAATCAAAACATGTTTATATACAAACCCATACATGAAAAGTCATTGCGGCTTACTTCAAATAGTTAAAAATCTGGAAAAAAAACCAGATGTCCTTCAATGGATGAACAACAGATAAACAAGCTGTGGTACATCCATAGCATGGAATCGTATTCAACAATTATAAAAGGAAAAAATGATACATCCAAGAAGACAGAGGAATCCCTAGAGAATTACACTGTGGTTAGGTGTGACTATAAATGGGCAAGACAAGGCATCGTTTTGATAATGGAAATGTTTACCTTGGACATCAAAGCTACTCAGATGAAAAAACTGAATAGAACTAAATACATACACACAAATTAATATAATTAACCAAGGAAATATCAATAAGTTTTGCATGTTGCATCAATGCCAACATCCTGGTTATGATGTTGTTCTATCATAGTAGTTTTACAAAACTGTTACTGGGAAACATGGGCAAAGTACAAATGATATTTATCCCTGTATCATTTCTTACAAGTACCTATTTACATAACCATGAAATTGAAAGTATAATTAAAAAACAGCTATCACTAGAGTTGCAAAGGATGTTCATAGATGTAGATAAAAGTGATACTAGCTAGAACTATCATTTTGAACTCACCACAATTGGGACAAATGCAGAGAACTGAAAATGAAGAACTTTGGTTTCTGTCACTTTCCAGTGAAGATGAGCAGCTAATTATCTCCAGATTATTTTCTGGGCTGTACTCCATATTTGATGGCATTTCTAACAGTACGAATTTTTCACCTACTAAAAAAATAAGAATCCTGAATAATGAATTCAATATTGGGTAAAATTATCCTTCAGGAAAAGGGAAAATAAAAATCCACACAAAAATAAAATTAAAATAGCTTGTCCCTAGCAGATTTACCTTTTTGTTTGTTTTGGGTTTGTTTTGGTTTGGTTTCCTGAGACAGAGTCCCATTATGTAGTTCAGGCTGGCCTTGAACACATAGTGATCCCTCTGCCTCAGTTTCCCAAGTGCTATGATTATAAGTATGTGTCACAACTGTCCAGACGTATCCTTAAAAACCAGGTAGACATGGTGGCATTTAAGAGACCAAGACAAGCTGAATTGTGAATTTGAGGCTACTCTGGGCTATTCAGCAAGTTCAAGACTGGTCTCGACTAACAGTAAGACCTGACTAAAAAAAACAGATACAGTGGTGCACACCTATAAATCCAGCACTTGGGAGGCTGAGTCAGGAGGATCACTGCAAATTCCAGGGCAGCCTACGCTACATATTAAGTTCAAGGTCAGCCTGAACTACATAGCAAGACCCTGTCTCAAGAAAAAAAATAATGTCTAAAGAAAAAGCTTCAAACAGAAAGGATATTTACAAAAGAAGAAATTTTGGAGCATCAAGAAGGAAGAACAGTGGAAAGATCAATAATACAGGTGTTGGAAATCACCCATACATTGCTAATGAGAATTTAAAATGGTACAGACTCTCTGGAAAACTGTTTGGCAGATTTTTGTAAAACTAAACATGCTATTATCATAAAACCAACAGTTGTATTCTTGGCATTCATGACTGAGGAGTAGAAACTGACTTGCACAAAAGCCAGAATATGAATGTTCAAAGCTTTACCTATAACATCCAAAAATCGGAAAGAAAAAAACCAGATATACTTCAATGAGTGGTTTATTTAAAAAAAAAAGTTGGCCTAAACCATGGAAAGCTTCATCAATAGAAAGAAATGGAAATTTATAGTTACACAAAAATATGCATATGAATATTCACATTAGCTTTATTCTCAATAGCCAAAAACTAGAAAAAAAATTCCAGATATTCTTCCAAAGAATAGTTTAGCAAAATGTAGTTTATTCAAACCATGGAATATCTTTCAACAATAAAGATAATAAACTATTAAAACACAACAATCTGGATGAGTTCCCACAAAATTAAGCTGAGTGAAAAACAAAGCCAATTTCAGATATGATTGCACTTACAAAAAAATCTGAATGAAGGGACAAAATTATAGAACTGGAAATGAGGTTAGTGGTACTCAAGTGTTAGGGATGGGTGATACAGACAGGGAGGAGGACCCCACAGGTGAGTGCAGTTATGGACAAACAGATAGTACCTTCTACTGACAGAAATGCTCTCTCCCTTGAGTGTGGGGGTGGACACACTAGCCCACTCATGGATAAAATTTCCCAGTGCCAAATACACACACATACACAAGTAAAATTGGAAACATCTCAGTAAGATCTGTGGATTGCATCAATGGAAAAATATAGTTTGGTAAAAGAGTACTATTGGGGAAAAGTAGGTAAAGGAAACACATGATCTCTGTATCATTTCTTATATCTGCACGTGATCCTGAAACGTCTCAAAATGAAAGTTTAATGTGAGAAAGCTGCCATCAAGAACTAATATTAAAAATGTTGAATCTAAATTAAAAAGTGCTACTTGTACTATGTATTATTTCAAACTTGCCAACATCGGAAGAGGTGGTAGCAGAAGATAATTCAGGTGTCAGATCAGTGAAACTTCCTAGTAAATCTGGGCAGTACATTGTCCCATCATAGTCTTTTAGGATGGCTTCTGCTTTTTCTGGCATTTGTAACAGCACAGCTTTGTCAGAGCCTGAAAGAAAAGGATGCTCAACCATAAATTATTTATGAGGTGAAACTATCATTCAAGGAAAACAAGTAAAATAACATTCCCACACAAAAGAAAACTAAAAGAATCTATCCCTAGCATACTTACTCATATAAAAGGATGAAGGAAAATCTTCAAACAGAAAGATTATTATAAAACAAGGAATTTTGAAGCATCAGGAAAAAAGAATAATGGAAAGATCAGAAATATCAATATAGAGAAAACGGATCATTGCTATTGGGATGTACAATGGTACAGCTTCTCTGGAAAACTGTTCAGCAGTTTCTTATAAAACTAAACATGCTATTCACCAAAGACCCAGAAATTACACTTTTGAAATTCACAACAGAAAAGAAAATTTATATTTATACATAGCTAGCACATGAAGTTTGCAGAGGTTTATTCTTAATACCAAAAGCTGGGGGAAATAATAACCTATGTCCTACAATGGCCAACTAGGTAAAAAGAACTATTGTATAACCAAACCATGTAAAACTACTCAGCAATAAAAAGGGACAAACTACCTGGGTACAGTGTACACCTGTAATCTCAGCTACTCAGGAGGCTGAGGCAGGAGGATATGAAGTTCAAGAGTAACCTGGACAACTTAGTGAAAACTTCTTTCAAAATCATGGGGCCAGGGATTTAGCTCAATGGCGTAAATGCCTTCCTTGGAAAGCACAAGGTTGTGAGTTCAAACCCCGGTACAGACGGAAGGAAGGAAGGAAGGAAGGAAGGAAGGAAGGAAGGAAGGAAGGAAGGAAGGAAGAAAAAAAGAAAAGAATAAATGGTTGGTGATGTAGCTCAGTAGCTCAAGATTTTTGGTTCAATCTACTGCATCACAAAAAAGAAACTTTCTATCAATACATACAATCATCTGTAAGAGTTAAGTGTTCAGGAAAACTATAACTTTAACAAAACACTACATATCACAAGATTTCCTTTATATAATAAAAGCAGCAAAATTATAGAGAGCATATTTTCCAGACATTAGGAAAAGGCAGCGATGAAGGTAAAGGTGATATGAGAGAGGTATATTTATAAAATGTAAGATGAGGCAGCTAGTTGTAATCAAGTTGTTTTATATCTTGCCTAGAGTGGTGGCAACTAAACCTATTTGTGTGGTAAATCTTGCATAGAAATAAACATAAATGTACAAAATTACTACAAGTAAAACTGGGGACATCTCATTAATATCTGTGAATTGTGTCAAGGTCAATACCCTGATAATATTATTTTACTATACATTTGCAAAATATTATTGTGAGAAAATAAATCATTGTTTCTTACAAATACATGTGAACCTAAAATCATTTCAAAGTTTTTTTAAAGTTTAATTTAAAGTGAACCAGGCTGAGGATATAGCCCAGTGGCACAGCACCTAACTGGCAAGCACAAGGTACTGAGTTCAATTCCCAGTACAGGAAAAAAAAAGTCAACCACACATGGTGGCATTCATCTGTAATCCCTGAACTTTGGGAAGTTAAGGCAGGAGAATTACAAGTTTGAGCACCCCAAACATTTCAGCAACTTAGCAATACCTTTTCTCAAAATTAAAAATAAAGAATGAAGGGATCATGATGTAGCTCAGTGTGAAAGCCCTGGGTTCAATCTCTAGTTCCACAAAAAAGTGAACTACCACTAGCTTGCATTAAGGATGTTGATAGACCCAGATTTGGTAGTGCTGCTTGTGATATGCATTATCTGAAACTCACTAGAATCAGATGAGGAGTTGGCAGATGAAGACGAAGGACACTGGTCATCATCATTTCCTATTACAGGTGGATAATTCTTTGTCTCAGGGTTATTTTCCAAGGTAGGTTCTGCTGTTCCTGGCATACCTATAAAAAGAACATTTTCAAGAATTCTCATCCATGAATTTATACATAACAAAATTACCCTGGAGTAATACAGCAGAAATACATTTTTAAATGAAAGGATACTAAAATTACTTATCCCTCATAGAATTATCTTTAAAGAAAGGCTAAAGGAAAATAAAGATATGATAAAAGAGAATCATCCAAAAAAAGAATATAATGAAAGGATTATTGGAGCAATAGGAAAAAGAAACAATAGAAAGGGCAGAAATACATTTAAAAATAAACAATATCAATTATATATATATAGCTGGCAAGAACGTAAAATGGTCTGCCCATGCTAAAAAATGTAAGTTTTTCATAAAGCCATGCACATGCTCAAACTCATCAAATTGTGTACATTAAATGTGTATATATTTTGCATATCAATTACTATGGTTTGAATGTACTCTCTCCAAAATCCCACGTTGCCAATATGATAGAATTAAGCAAAGGAGACTTTAAGAGGTGATTAAACCACAAGGCTTCTTCACTCATGAATGGATTACCCTTATAAAAGAGCCTTAATGCAATGATCAGCACATGTGCCTTTCTACTTGCTGCCATGTGAGGACACAGCTTCCCTCTCCTCTGCAGGATACAGCCATCACTAGACAATCAAACCTGTGGCAATTTAGCCATGAACTTTCTATCCAACAGAACTGTGAGAAAATAAATTTCTGTTCTTTATAAATTTCTCAGTCTGCGGTATTTTGGTATAGCAACACAAATAGACTAAGATATCAATTACATTGCAATAAAGATATTTTTAAAACTAGGACTGGGCCAGGTGTGGTGGCTCACGCCTGTAATCCCAGCACTCGGGAGGCTGAGGCAGGAGGATCGTTGAGAGTTCGAAATCAGCCTGGGCTACAAAGTGAGCTCAAGGCCAGCCTGAACTGCATAACAAGACCCTGTCTCAAAAAGACAAAAAAAAAAAAAAACCCTAGAACTGGTTCAGTGGTAGAGTGTTTGTCTAATACGTGCAAAGCCTTTGGTCCAATGCACAGTACCACAAAAATTAAGATAACTAAATATGTAATTAACATACAACCAAAAATTGCACTCTAGAGAATTTATTCCAGAGAAATAAAAACTCTTAAATTTACTCAAAAACTTGCAGATAAATTTCGATAACAGCCTTACTCCTAATAGACAAAAACTAGGAAAAGAGTTCCTTCAACAGATGCATGGTTAAACAATGCTACAACTATAACACAGTCTACAGAACTTAGCAATAAAAAAGAACTGCTGGTATTTGTGACTTGGTTGAATCTCCAGGGAGTTATGTTGAGTGAAAAAAGCCAATATCAAAAGATTATATACTACTGAATATGCGTCCAGTTATGCTGAAATACTGAGTTGACAAAATTACAGATACGAAAAGAGACTGGTGGTTGCCAAATGTTAGAGATATAATATGATAATGGAAGTGGAGGGGAACCAGAGGGGAATAGGTTTGGCTGTAAAAGATCAATACAGGCTTGTGTGATAAAAATGAATCTTGTAGTGACAAAATATTCTGTGCCTTGACTATCATGATGAACATACAAATCTTCTCAAGTGATAAAGTTACACAGAACTAAATTCACAAAGAAAAAGGGAATATAGTTAGTTTTAAAAGATGCTACCACTGAGGAAAATTGGGCAAAAGAGGTATCTGCATTATGTGTTACAACTACAAGTGGAGCTACAATAATCTCAATAAAAAACTTTTAATTAAAAATGACACTAGTTTGAAGGATTTTAAAAATCTAGACTAAATGATGACATTTATAATATATATATATTACTGAAAACTCACCAAAATGGAGAAGGATGCAGGCAGATGGCAAGGTAGAATCTGGGCTCATGCCCTTGTATCTCAGAATGTCAGAATAAGTCATCTGATCAGGATTATTGGCCACACTAGGGCTTCCTGATGGAGGAACTACTAGAGGAACTGCAACAAATGGCTGGGAAAATGAAGAAACACTGTTAGAACTTTCAGTACTTCCACTGAAAGGGCAAGTTACTACAAAGAGACCAGGACATGAACCCTCCTCCTGCATAAAACATGGCTGAAATGAATATACAGAGGCAGTTCTAGGAAGTGCTTGACTCCGTTTGTGTCGAACCTCCTGTAATTGAGCGCTTGCTGCTGACTGAAGTGATGTTCCTGGAGCACTGGCCTGGGCATGGGTTGTCGGCCTTGCCACTGGCAATGATGGGCTGCCATTTCCCTGTTTAAAGTAAGAGAACAAAGTAAATTAAGCTCTTTTCTTCAGTTCCTAGACATTAATTTGTCACACTATACACAATGAAAACATTCTGTGTGACTCCAAATGACCTCTAAAATGACACCAACCTAGTTAAGTCAACCTTATGTAAAGATGAAGATTAAAAACCTATTAAAATTCACAACTATTTTCTTCTTTGTTATGTAACCTCACTATTAAGGGTAAATGCTGTATTTAAATTATAATATCTTTATTACCCTTTAATATTACATTTTAATTACATTTTATACATGATAACTGACATAATACTCAGCGTCATTATATATCTAACTTAAACTTCCACATTCTTTCACCAGTTTCAGTTCTCTATCTACTTCTATCATAAGCATAATCACCCTTGCTAATATCACAGAATTCTTACTTCCACATCACTTCCAGCTGTCTGGCATCTTTTTTTTTTTTTTTTTTTTTTTTGTCTTTTTCGTTTTTATCGGTACCAGGGATCGAACTCACGACTGCCTGCTTGCAAGGCAGGCGCTTATGCCGCTGAGCTAAACCCCCAGCCCCTTGTCTGGCATCTTTAAGAGCAGGAGATTCATCAAAGGTGGAAAACTGTTTTATAAAACTTACATGTTGTGTCATCAGTGGTATCTCCCAAAACTCTTCCATTGCTGAAAAGATTTCATTCAGCTGGGAAATCTGCGTATTCATTTTCTGAAAAAGTTCTTTTAAACCCTATTATAATAAAAGAATTAGCAGTTATTACTTCGAAAGAAAAGTAACATGTGAGAATCCTACTGAGCTAAATTTTAACTGCAAGACACAAGGAAAGTTCTCAAAGCTCCAGAAAAAACTTCTTTCCTATCTGAGGCCTAGGTGTGGGCGACACTGAGTCCATTTCACTGAGACAAGGAGCCCAGACCTGCCACTATCCTACTCAAACTCACAGGGACATTGGAAGGAGAAAGCAAATGCATCAGAGGCCTTCTACACCATCCCATTTATGATGTGGTCATTTCACACAAAGGAAGGTACTATTTCAGGAAAGAAACACTCAGATCTGCTTAAGGTCAAAGAGTGAACTTCCATGCAATGCCTTAAACAGTGAATTTTCTGCTCTGAAAAGAACATGGAATCAAATATAACAGATGTCACTTTTGGCTTCAACGTACTTTGTGATCATGCAGTCAACAAACTTACAAACCAATGAGTGCACAACTCCCACTTGTCAATCAAGTAAAAATCTAATAAAAATGTGAGGATTCTTGAAATACACAGTAATTTCAAGCAAAAGGAAAATAAAAGGTCAGAAAGACTTCCTCATTCATCCATTCATTCAAATGAGCACTTATTGAGGGGCTACTACCAGTCAGATCTACTTTGCTGGGAACATAAACTTTAAAAAACAAAATAAAAAACTGCACCCCTGTCCTGGAGGAATGGCCATCTTTACTGGTAGAGAGAGCAGATGGTTTCAACAGAACAAGTATCTAAAAGTCTGGAACAGTGGCTCTCAAATTGTGGGCCATTGATCAGAACCATCACCTGCGAGCCTGCCAGACAGCAGCAATGCAGCTCCACCTAAGCCTACTGAATGGAGACCTGAGTGGGCTGGGATGTCAGCAAACCTCCAGGTGCTCCCAAAATGTACTCCAGTGGGAGAACTGTGGGCCTGCAGTGCTGAGACAAACAGTGCAGAGTTCTGCCACTTACTAGCCGTGTGACCTTGGTCAAGTCACATGACTTCCCTGTGCTTCGATTTCCTCATGCACAGACCTGGGATGAAAGTATCTCCTGGGATCCTCCTGGTGACAGAACCTTACTATAGCCTCATGTTAATACTAACAGTAATAGGGCTGGGGATTTAGCTCAGTGGCATAAGCACCTGCCTTGCAAGCAGGTGGTCGTGAAGCAGGCGGTTGTGAGTTCGATCCCCGGTACCAATAAAAAGTTAAAAAAAAATACTAACAGTAACAACACCGACACGACTGGCCCAACAGTCTCAGAGCTCTATTAGTATTATTGCTGTTATCGTCAACAGCGCCATGACACAGATAAGCACCAAAGGCTAAGCACACCCAGAAGTGCAGGACTGAAACCAATGTGGTAGTTAGGGAGGCTTCTCAGTGATGATAACGTCTGGGTTGAGAGGGAAAGGAGAGAAGGCATTCACCAGGCGAAAATGCATGGAAGGTCAGACAGGGCAGAAAAGAACAGTGTGTTCCCAACCACAGAGAGAAAATAGGAAGACAGATGTTCAGCTGGTGAGGAAAAACTCCCTGCTGCTTCAGCCACCTCTGCACATCTTCCCCTCAAGGCATGAGTGGTCCCAGTAAAGATCCCACTTCTGTTCTCACTGGGAAGAACGAGAAAGATGCATGCAGACTTCTACTCTTCAAATAATGCCAGCTCATTCTACTCAAGAAAATTTAGAGGTTAAGAAACACATTTTTACAAACTTGCATTACCTCTGGGGTATGTAGATCACAAAACCCATAAAAGTATAATTATATACTTCTATCAATTTCTTCCAACATACTTATTTTTTATAAAAACTTCCCTCAAAACTACATTAAATGTACCCTTTACAAAACATTGATAGGCTACAACTTTGTTTCAGTTGAGATGCCTTGATCTGTATTTAGGCACATGCTAAAGTTCATCTAAGCCAGCCAATTTTCATAAAAGATTACGTTGGGAAAATCAAATGTCAAACAAACTGGATTATGAGCTTTTTTTCAAGTTACAAAAGCCATATTTTTATTTCCAAATATTCACTAGAGTATACTATTCCAAGTAGAATTTTTTAAATGTGTATTACACTGGAATTATAATCATACAGAATTCAACGCAAATTTTCTATTACTAGTAAAATGACATTAAAAGTAATAAACTTTTCATTCAATTATTTCAGAAAATTACATTTGACAGAAAGAATTTTGGTACCTGGAAACACTGTTGAAATGCTCTCAGTTGGTTCTGGTGATATTCCTGATAGAAGTTTTCAAACACACATCTCTCCTATGAATATTATAAAAACAAATGGTCAATACTTAACATCACTAGGAACCTATTTAAGCACAAGAAAAAAAAACCTTCATTATATATTTTAATTGTTTTTATAATTCACTTATATGCCAAGAAATTTCAGATGCCTAATAATATAGAAATAATGTAAAACCAAAACCTATATATAAGAATAAAATAAGAAGAACATAAGAAAAAAAAGCACTGACTAAAAAAGGATTTCAAAAAGTAGTTATTATATAAGAACCTAAATTTAAGGAAAGATATTGAATATTGGTATGGACAGTTTTTCATATAAATAAAACCAAATATAAAAATACCTATTTATGTGTTTGAGTAGATTAAGATATAGATTTATTCCTGTCCTCTGAGAAAGCCAACAATCAATGACACAGCAATCGATATACCAAATGTCCACATCTTGGTTTTTAAATAACATTCTCACATTTAAAAAAGAAACCAGGATTCTTTCAAAAACACAGTGAAATTCCAGGGCTGGGGCAGGGAAAGTTCAAATAAATCTAGAATATGTTTTGATGTTAGAAAATAAGACAATGTTCAAAAAGGGTGTGAACAGAGCAAAAGACCACAGCAACAAACTGGAAGGAATACCCAATGGCTAAAGCTGGAAAATCAAAACAACAAAACAAATAATGGAAATTCTGGATTATAATTCATATAATACAATACATATTCACAAGTCCATATTAATACATATGATTGAATAAGCAATAAAAACATGACAGCTCTTTGGTACAGATAAATTATAGTTAATAAATGTAAAATGAATGATGGAAATAGAGTCACCATCAGGCAAATGTAATAACAACTGCTGCAGTTAAAATCCATGGGCAAGCACATAGTCATGAGTTCAATCCCCGGTAACAACAACAAAAATAAATCCATGAACAGATGCTAACTCAATTCATTGAACTGAAGAGAAATAGGATATTAATAGAATCTCAAATTACCCTTCCACCCAAGATATCTATTACTCAAACAGGGTAAAACAGTAATTCTACAATGGAAAAATTTGGGAGACACAGTAAGTATTAATCAAGTGATCAATGTTAACATTACCAATAAAAAAGATAATGAACACCATGCACCACCTTGTGTGATTCAATGAGAAAATAACAGCATTGGTGTGGAATTCTTGCCAAAAATGTATAATCTCAATCTATCTGAGAAAAAGTACTGTATACACCAAAGTCAAGAGATATTTTAATAAAATAATGAGCTAGTACTCATCAAAAGTACCAGGGTCATGAAAGACAGGGGAAGAATGAGCTGTGATATATTGCAATGGCAATATTCAAACAAGGACTATAGTTTGCTAAGTAGTATTGTACCAATGTTAACTTCCCAGTTTAGGTTACTATATAATAATTTTGAGTTATACAGTTAAACTAACATTAATGGAACTTATGTGAGGTATTTACATGAGAACTCTGTAATATTTTTTTCTAATTATTCCCCAAAATCTCAAATTATTTGAAAATTAGAAAGCCACTGAAATTGGAAGCTTGATCGGATTCTCTTGACTTGTTTCCATCTCTTTGTCTCCCGCCCCCCCCCATTTCTATTTCATCCCTGTTCCCCCTCCAGGTACACCCCACAGATTGATTCACGGGCCGATCAAGTGGCGCCCAGCGTGGGGGCTCCTGGCACGAGGGAGTCAACGTTGGAGCCATTCGAGAATGCCGGCTAAAAGTGGAAGCAAATTGAATCAAGGACCGCAGCTAGAAGTGAAAGCAAACTGAATCAAGGACCGAGGCTAAAAGTGAAAGCACATTAAATCAAGGACCAAGGCCTGCGTGGATGACCACCCGGTGTGCCGCCTGAGTCACGATGACACAACTCCTCGGAGCCTTATGCTGCCTACTCAGCCTTCTCCTCGGACCATACCACACCATGGTGGATTTAGACCCCCGCCAAACAGACTACAACTGCTGACAGCCATGCACAGAACCCCCTGTGACTGTGGAGGAGGCTCTTTTCGGTCTCAAGGAACACAAACCAGCCAAATAGACTGCGGAAAAATGTTGCTTCTATGTCAGTCAGTCCAGTGTTGTACAAGGCAAGCTCCAAAAAACAGAAGAACGACTTCAACAGTGACGACAACAAATGGCTGCTAACCCCTTCTCCATGATGAGGGGGGGACTTTTCCCTTACCTAGTGCCCCTCTAAGGTCCCCTACCTGCCCTATTGCTTCTCCTCTCTGTAGGTGGGTCCTTGTATTTTTCAGAGGATTCTGATGCTCATTAATAACCGGATAGATGTGTTTATGGCAAAGCCCATCCAGGTACACTATCACCAGCTGGAGATGGCAGATCAACAAACCTACCAGGAAGGAATTCCCACGAGTGGCCCATAAGATGATGTGGCAACTGCCCTGGGGCAATGTACAGGCAGCCAGAGACGGGCAACTAGGACAAACATGTTATTCCATTGGCCACCTAAGACAGGCACAGGACCAACTGCTGTCCTACATATCCATGATGGGTAAGGCCGGGTTGGGTTCATGTAATGAGGTTCCTTGCCCTAAGACAGGCGCTGTCCTCACAGGGCCTGCCATACTCCTGATTAAATAATATAGAAAGCGAGGAGATGTAGGGAGCGGCGCGACAGCCCCATTGCTGCCTCCCCACCTCTCTCCTATGGGCATATGATGCACCTGCCTACATTAACCATAATCCTCTCCTGCTTACGTCACATACCTGGACATGACAATGACCTATCAGAAACCACCCCATAGCGTCTTCCTGTCCCACCAACCTGCCCTTGGCTTATAAAAGATTTGATCACTTCCTGAATAAACGAGGCTTGATCGGATTCTCTCGACTTGCTTCCATCTCTCTTTGTCTCCCCCGTTTCTATTTCATCCCTGTTCCCCCTCCATGTACACCCCATGTATTGACCCGTGAGACGGATCATTTTGAAAACAACATGAATGCCATCAACTGAAGAATGGATAAGAAAGATGTCTTTTTATACAATGGAGTACTACTCAGCCATAAAGAAGGATCAACTGAGACTTTTACCGGTAAATGGACACAATTTAAGACCATACTCATTAGTGAAATAAATAAGACACACATGTAAACATCATATTAGCTCATTAGTGTGAGAAGCTGAAAGAAACAACATATACATGTATATGTATATAAAAAAGTTAAGATACTTATAGCACTGATTTTTTTGTACACTGATGAGAAGAAAGATTTGTGCTGCTATTTTTTGGACAACTGAATGCAGATTTTTGTGCTCTGTGTGAATGATTTGAGTATGACAATGTGCAATTTATACACCATTATTGACCTCTTCTGATTGATGTGTTTTGAAATTTTGTTTCATTTTTTTCTCACTCTTTTTTGTTTTCTCCTTGAAATAAAATGGGTTTTAAAAAATAAAAAAAAGAAAGCCACTGAAATTGGATTCAAAAACACTGTGAATTGGGATAGAGATATAGCTCAGTAGTAGAGCACTTTCCCAGTATGCACAAGGTCCTCAGTTCAATCCCTAGCACCATAGAAAATGTACTGTAAATTGCTATTAAATAAGGAAAAAAGGAAACAAAATACTTAAGATCTCACTGTCTAATGAAAAGATGCATATACATTCAGAAGACAAATATTCCTTTGAGTATGAATGAATTCAGAGTAAGTACAGAGAATACGAAGGCTAAAAAAATCTGAATCATTTTCTTGGTCAGTGTAAACATATTTAGCAATTTATGTAAGTCTTCAAAGTCTAAAGCACAGTTATTAATGGTTATGAATGACACTATCACCTTCTCAAACAGATACCATGTTCATGTTCTTAACTAAAAAAGATTAACAAATCAAAAATAAATATAAAGGAAATAAATGAAACAAAAGTTTAAGATTTCTATTTCATTTTTAAGAAGCACCAAAGGCCTACATGTTATATCAAAAACCTTTTGCCTATTACAAATATTGTAACATCAAAAGGTGTTCCTTTCTGTATTTCAGGGTATAAAGACTAATCACCCTTTAATCTAGCACTGTTACTGCTTTAAAAACAAATATTCCTAACCATGAACAAAGAACTAGATGTTACATGGCTTCTGATTTTTAAGTAATCCAACAGTGACACTCTGTGGACAAAAAAGGAACTATTTCAGCCTTATTTTTCTTGATAAATTAATGTCTAAATATCTTTACATGTTTTTATGGAATAACAGGGTATAAATAAGTAAACAGCAAGTAACCCATACTTAATAATAATAACTGTATTCTAAGAATAAACTGTTGATTATAAGGACAATTTTAACACAAATATACTAAGTACTTATATGTCCATGATTAAAAATTACCTAAATTAGCACTGCATTACACCTATCACATAGCCAAAATTATATGAGCTTGCAATGTAGATTAATAATTATAAACACAATACTACCATCTTACCCTTGTATAGTGCTTCATTCTTTCCAAAATATTTCCAAAATAATTTCTAGATACCATGATACTTGATAGATAATTAACACTATCTTCAAAGATTAAAGATTGGGACAAGTCAAAAATTATCTATACAGTATTACTTTGGTGACAATAATATCCACATCTTTGAGTAAATAAGTGAATCTTCTTTTAAGCCTCACTATCTATCTATCTATCTATATATATATATATATATATATATATATATATATATTTCATCCAACTTCAAAGATGAACAAACCAACATAATATAATGGAACTGTAAAACAGTACAAGCATTTCAGAAAATTCTAAAGTTTATTAAAAAGATAAACTCTAACCTGATACAATCCTATTTGTTGATTCTTAGTATTATTTCTTATGCAAGTGGGTTCTGTTCAGGAAGTCCTTACCTGTGCCAATGTCTGCAAGAGTTTTACTAATTTTTCTTCCAACAGATTCAATGTTTCTGTTTTTATATCACGCCTTTGAACCATTTTGATGTGATTTTAGTATAGGGTAAAAGATATGGGTCTAGATTCATTCTTCCACTTGTGGATAACCAGCTTTTCCAACACTACTTATTAGAGGCTATCTTTTCACCAGCATATGTTTTTGGCCCCTTTGGCAAAAATCAGATGGTTGAAGGTGCCTGAGATTGTTTTTGTATTTTCAACTCTATTCTACTGTGCATATGTCTATTTTTATGCCAGTACCATGCTGTTTTTACTATTGTACCTTTATAACTTGAAGTCAAACACAGAAGGGTAACTTTCAACCAGACATGGTGACTCACACATTTAAACCCAGCACACTGGGAAGCTGAGGCAGAGGACTGTAAATTGAAGCCTAACCTAGTTAATTCAGTGGTTTATTGAGACCTGTCTCAAAATAAAAATAAACACTGGAGATGTAGCTCAGTGCAAAGGCCCTAGATTCAAACATCAATACCGCCCCCTAAAAAAGGAAAAATGTTGCAAGGTTTCTTTTATATGAAAAACCCAAAATACAAATAAAGAGTAAAATAAAAGAGACAGTAAAAAGGAAATATACTTTGTGGAGATGGGAAGGGGATCTTTGGAAGGAGGTAAAGAGAGGGCACAAGCTAAGTAATCAAATATCATCAAGATGCAATATATATACATATACATGCAGTACGTGTATATGTACTGATTCCTCAAAATTAACATAAGTTTTGTACATACATACAACAATAAAATTTAAAAGGATTTTTTTAAATCAAAAAAGTTTATCTTTAACCTATCTCATGGTCCAATATTTATATTCCTGGGTGTTTATTAAAATTAAATGTAAACATATGTTCACCAAAAGATCTCTATGTTCATAGCCATTTTTATCATAACAACAGAGTACCAATAAGCAATAAACAGGAATAAAATATTGATACTACAAATGAATCTCTAGAATATTGTTCTGAGACAAAGAGGCTATAACCAAAAAGACACAATTTTATTTACACATGTTCTATTTCTACAACAGAATTTTATTTTTACCATTCTACTATATGAAGTGGTAGAACAGGCCAAACTAACCTAGGATTGGGAAATCAACAATATGATTTTTTGCCAAAGCTTAAGAAGGCCAAGATTTATTGGGAACAGGAATGAGAGAGATTTCTGAACTAAGGGAAAAGTTCATTATCTTGACAGGGGCATTGTACACATTATTTACTAAAACTTATTGAACTGCACGTATATTTATGTGCATTTCAATGTATGAAATTAAACTTAGGGCCTTGCCCTGTAGTCCAGACTGATCTTAATCTATGACGCCTAGGTTGGCCTCCAACACGCGACAATCCTCCTGCCTCATGCACCATTATGCCTGGCTAAATTTAGCAAAAGAATTATAGCTGAATGAGAAGAACAAAAAATAAATATTTTTCCTTTACTATACAAACCATATTATGCTGTATTGGAAGAGAAGTATTATCCTGTCCTGGAGATGTTCGTCCTCTTTTGTTTGATGAACAATACTGTTCTGTTGACTGAGGCATGTATCTTTTTAAGTTTGTTGGAGAGCTCATTTGTGAAACTAATTGGTCATGCTGAACTTCTGTGTCTTGAAATCCTATAAAGCAACACAGAAAATTTACTTCACACACTTGCTACCTAAATAACCTTATATGGATATGCTCTGAAAAATGCCACCTCCAACTGGAGCCCTGCTTGACTTTTAGAAAATGACAAAAGAAGATTTGTTTTTGACAGTACTAGGTGACTGAAACCAGAGCTTTTGCACTGAGCTACAATCCCAGGCTTTTTTATTTTATTTCTTTTGAGACGTGATCTCCCTTGGTACTAAATTGCCCATTCTCCGCTTAAATGTGCAGTCCTCCTGTCTCAGCCCTTCAAAGTGCTGGGATTACAGGTGTGTGTCACCATGCCTGGCAAATCAAGAATTCTTCCATAAGTAATTTAGAATACGTCTTTTAAAACAGAAGGGCTATACTTTCCATGACAGGAATGAAAATTAAGTACAATGCAGCTCCAAACGGCTGAGTTATCCTACTTAGTAAATACAGCAAACGACTGAGCAAAAGAATACAACTGCTAACTGCTTCACCCGTCTCATTTCCAGGTGTTAGAAATTGAACCTAAGGCTTCTGCACTGAGCTGTAACTCCGGTCCTTTTTATTTTTAGATGAGGTTTCTCAAATTACTAAATTTCTCAGGCTAGGCTCAAACTTGTGATCCTCATGCCTCAGCCTCCCAGAATACACCGCCAGAACTAGTACTAACTGTTTTGTAAAGATCTAAAGGACTTTTCACTTAGACAATGCTGTGGTTTAGATCTAAAATGTGCCCTCAAAGCCTCTCATGTTCAGGGGCAGGGCTTATGGAAGGTAAATGTTTCATGAGGGCCCATATTCATCAATGGGTTAATGCACTGGTCCATTCAAAAGCTGATTGGTATCTGGTTAGAGGCAGTTTACTGGGGAAAGGACCTGGACAGGAATGTCTCCCTCTCTGGCACCTACCTCCCCTGTCACTCTGCTATCTGGCCATGATGATATGAACAGCTTTCCTCTACCTGGTCCCTTCTGCCATGCCCTTTCTGCCTTGGACCCAGCCAAGCATGGGCTGAAACTTCTAAAACTGTGAGACAAAATAAACCTCTCCTCCTTTAAGTTGAAATGTCAGAATGCAAAATGAGAGTATATTGTGGCACATGCCTGTATTATCAGCACTCTGATAGTTGAGGCAAGAGGATCTGAAGCCCAGCTTCAACAACTTAGAACCTTAGGGAAACCCTGTCTCAATTTTTTTTAATTGCAAAAAAATGGCTTGGGATGTAATTCAAGGGAAGAAGACTTACCTAGCATCCATAAGGACCTGAGTTCAAACCTTAGTAACAACTCCCTCTCCCAACAAAAAGAGACCATCTACAAAATGGCAAAAAATATTTGTAAATTATGTATCTTATAAAGAATTAATATCAAAAATATAAATAACTTAAATTAAAAAAAACAATCTAACTTAAAAAATAAGCAAAGAACTTCATAATCATTTCTCAAAAAAATCCAAATGGCCAATAAGCACATGAAAAGATGCTCAATATCATTTGTCATTAGGAGAATATAAATCAAAACCACAGTAAGCTGACACAGCGGTACATGCCTGCTATCTCAGCTTCTCAGGAAGCTGAAGCAGGAGAACTGCAATTTTAAGGCCAGCCTAGACAATTTAGTGAGACCCTGTCTCAAAATAAAAAATAAAAAGTAATCAGGATACATGCAGTTCGGTGGTCCTTTACCAGAAATGTAAACAAAGAATGCTGCTGAACAGTCTTATACTTGTGCAAGTGGTTTACGGGATAAATTCCGAGTAGTAGAAGCAACGGATAAATGAATTTAGTTCTTTGCCACTACAGTAGACTGTTAGAGTCAGTAAGGTGTTTTAAAATCAGAACAGATAAGTAGTGAATTTTTGAGACCATATCAGAGATCAGCAAAACACATGTTGTGCACCAGATCACCTTTCTGCTTGTGTGGTATTTTGCTTTGTTTTACATAACCCACAAGCTAAAATGTTTTCAGTTTTTAAATACTTGAAAAAAGAATTATTTCATAAAATGGGAAAATTATAGGAAATTCAAATTTCTCTCTCCACAATGTTTTACTTAATGTGTAGCCACTTTTATGGCTTTCATCACTATAATGGCAGAGTTAAACATGGAACACTGATGGCCTGAAAGGCCTGAAATACACAGTATGGCCCTTTTTTAAAAAATAATCTTTGTCAACCTTCAACATAAGTTATATTTTGCAGAGTAAGAAACCCAGTCCTTTAAGTAAAGAGCAAAGAACAAACTGGCAAATGGCTGCAGAAGGAATATTTGCCTCTTGGCTCCTTATATAAACCTGGACATGAATAGTCTGACATTTCTTTCATCATCATGTTTCAGAAGGAACAACTGGAAGAACAGGCAGCTATTAGCTCAGGTTGCAAGACTTCACTCTCTGGGAGCACTTCTATGTGATAGTGTAAATAGTATTGTGTTTTTAATTTTCAATTCCAATTTCTTATTGCTTATATATAGTAAAGTGGTTGATTTTTTGTATGTTAACCTTATATCCTGCACATAACAGTCACTTATTCGTTCCAGACTTTTGTTGATTTGAAATTTTTTTCATACAAATTCACGTTATCTACTCTATGAACTCTTGACCCAAGCTGATTTTTCTGTAAGTTCAATTATTTCTATTTTATTTTGCCACCAAATAGTTATAATTACCAGATATAAACAATTTTTCAGAAAGAGAGAATATGTTTTCCCCAACACTTCGTATCTATTCCCTATAAAGTAAAAAGGTCAAAGTGGGACACGCCATAGCTAAAGTAAAGGGAAAATGCAAACACAAATTAACATTATAATAGTAGCACAAAGCTTAGCTCTTTTCATAAGCAACTGATGTAAAGTTTATAGAAATATTTAAGTGATATCCTAAAACAAGAGATCCTTTCCAGATAGCAAGATTTCCCCCGGGAGGAAATTTAACAAAATTACCATCTGATATGCTGAATAGATGCTGACAGTTTTCATCATGGATTTCAAAACAGTGTTGTATCATAGATGCATCACCAGAATTGTCAGAATTTGCAGAATCCTCTTCTGTCACAGCATCCTCATCATCAGTGTTATCATTATAGTCATCTTCAATAGTTACAATGATGTAATCTAATAATAATCAGAGAGAAAGTTTAGATAGCATCATAGTAAATAGTTTTCAGAGGAAGTTGCCTCATAAAATTATGGATTGTTGTAAAAGCTTATCTTAGCTAAATGAACTGTATTAAGTATTTTATATCCATGAATATTACAAATTAGCTAGCAAATCAATTATTTAGTATGCAATTGCAGTGAGGCATGGCAGCACATGAATGTACTCCCAGCACTTGAGATGCTGAAGCAGGAGGATCTCTACATGTTCAAGGCCAACCTGGGCTACAAAGTGAGTTCAAGGCCAGCCTTAAATCCATAGTATTAGCCTGTTTAAAAAGACCAGAAACGGGGCTGGGGATTTAGCTCAGCAGCATAAGCACCTGCCTTGCAAGCAGGTAGTCGTGAGTTCAATCCCTGGTACCGATAAAAATGAAAAAGATCAAAATAATAATAATAAAAAAATAAAAAGACCAGAAAGGGTTGGGGATATAGCTCAGCAGCACAAGCACCTGCCTTGCAAGTGCAAGATGCTGAGTTCAATTTCCAGTACAAAAAAAAAAATGTATGCAATTGCTAGGACTTCCAGTTTTACAGAACAAAAATTTCTTCACTGCAGCAATGAACTGATTTAAATTAAAGAAATATCACCATATGTCTCATGTTTATGTTCAGTGATTTGCTTCTAACTTTTAAATACCGACACTGGTATTACATGGTCATATTTGTGGTGACCATGAATTTCTAAACTTTTCTACCAATTAATATTTATGATAACTGATAATGTAGAAATAAAGCACAAAATTTAATGTTGTCAGGAAAGAAATTAAATTCAATCTGAATCTCGTAAGAGGTGAAACAGACACAAACTCAATGTAAAATATCCATTCAGTAAATCATTTTAATTAACATGAAAAACAGCACATTATACAAAGTGTCTGATATCTTAATGGGTTTTTTTATTTCTTAAGTTGGCCTGAAAAATAATATATTTAAACTTAAAGTTTTCAATAACAGATTTTGCTTTCACTGCATCATAATTTGGATTCCCACATTTATTTCAAAGAGGCCAAAACAGAAAATTAACTAATGTGAGGTGCACATGATGGTATGAAAAGGGTACTAAGTAGGGATCACATAACTACATAAGGAAGGTTCTAATTCAGGTTTTGTAGTTATACAAAGTTATGATATTTAGAATAGATAAACCCATTGCCTCTATTTTATAATTCATAAAACGTGAGGTTTGAACAGTCACTCTGAATGTTAACATCCTCATAGAAAAAATAACATTAGAAACTACATTATAATATAAACAAAGGAGTTAAGTAAATATAAGTAAATTAAAGTATTTTCCTAAGATGTAATCAATGAGAAACATGTTTTCAAGGAACACATTTTGGTATTAGAAATGCTTGTGAACTGATGTTAAAAGGGGCACAGTAAAAATACATTAAAAAGCTAATTTTGAGACTCAAACAAAATATATCAATTGTTAGCTAGGTGGCTCTCTTTGAGTAGCAAAGCTACTAGCTTCATTAGACCTCTCTGTCAGTTCTCTACGACAAACTTCAGACTTTACATTAGAAAATTTTAAAACACCACTGAAAAATTAAGGCAAGCTTTTGTTTATCAATAAATTTTTTAAGCTAGAGCTAGTAAAGCTATTAAGCATGTCACTAAGGTTTCTCAGTAAATGAGTAAACATCTAATTAGTTCTTTTAAGTATTCACATAACTTTTATAAACAAAATTTAAAGCATAATATTTAGAAGCTTTTCCACTTCAAGCGTTTAACTGGTTGGCTGACTGTGCCAGGATATTGTTATTGGGTTGCCCAAACATTCATGCCTCTCCCCAAAAAATGTTTTTTCTAGGAATCTTGGAGCCTTTCACATGCCAGACAAGCACTCTACCACTAAGCTACACCCTTCAACACATACACCCAACACAAACAAACACCCAAGTTTTTAAAGAAACAAAACCATGTTTTAATATAACCAATCACTTTCTAAATCAGAAGACAAACTCTCATAAGTATTCCTTCCACGGTGTCCATATCCAACTTTACAGCCTAATAAAGTCCATCAAACGAGGGGTAAAGAGGCCACTGCCCAGAAACAGCTCCAATTTGAGAGCCTTTTCTATCAAATGACCTGGAGGTTTCCTGGAGCACACACTAAAGTTTCCCTCACTTTACAGGATCCCTACTTTTTTTTTTTGCAGTTTTTGAATCTGACATCTGCCAATACTCGAGGACACCTCTACAGAAACTATAACTTTACTTTCTCCCCTACAGCTTTACTTTCCTCCTCATAACGCATTCACAGTAATACTGCGAAGCTGCTGACCAGCGCGACTAACAGGAAAACTGCAAAATCTACATCTCAGTCGGGCATGGAGCCAATGCCAGTAATCCCAGAACTGTGGAAGGCACTCATTTTCAAAATGAAAATTTAAAAACGGATACAGGCGGGGTGGGGATGTAGCTCTGTTCCAAGACCCTGAGTTCAATTCCCTAGAACTGAAGGGGGGGGGGGACCTTAATCTCAAAGGACACTATTGGAATCAACTCGCAAATTCGTGAAATCTTTCAACTCAAAACTCCTTCCTCATTTCTCGCCCCCTTCCCCCGCCTCTGCCACGGAAGGGAAAACATGGAAAATGATCAACTCTGCCCGGAAGGTCCGCGCCAAGTCCTTAACAGGTGGTCCGGCCTCGGGGCCCAGGGCTCTCGCAGCCCGGAGAAGTAACCGTCTGGGCGCCGCCAAAATGAGACCCGGCTCCTCCCAAAGCTCAAAATGCCTCGTGCCCAAAGCGCCTCTACTAACTCAAGCTGCTCTCCGGTTTGAACACAGCTGCACCACAAGCTACATGAAGCGTGAATGAATGAACAAACAAATAAAAATAAATAAACAAACATCCTGGCGCCAGAGCCGCCACACCACCGACGACGAGGACACCCCAAAACCGCTAGCAGCCGCTCAGCCTCTCTGACAAGCGACTTCCTAAACTTTCAGGAGCACTGGAAACAATGAGCCCCAGAAGCCCTAAAGCCCTAGCACTCAGTCGAGCGAGCCTCGGGGACCCCAGAAGGCCCGGAACAGCCTTCATCCTGGGGCCACCGCCTCCAGCCCCCCGCGCCCAGCTCTGGCACCCCGGCAGGCCGCAGAGTGCAAGCCGCGACCCCCAGGGCCGCCTCCAGCCGCAGCGGCCACCAGCCGAACGGCGCCGCCCAGCCCCGTGGCCGCAGGGCGCCCTCGGCAAAGTCCCCGCGAGGCAGCGTGTCCCGGCCTCGTTTCAGCCATGGCGACACCACGAGCTCCGACAGCCACCTCAAATAGCGCGGCCGCCACGTGCGCGAGCCACCGCGACCCCCGGAGTACCTCAGCTGCGGACCACGGAGGACGCCAGGCCCAGGACGCCGAGGCCTCACCTGGAAGGGCGCGTCGGCCACGAGGCCCGGGAGGCACCACGTGCCGTGGCGTCGCGGGGGCGGGAAGGGGGGCCGGGGCGACGTGCCCCGCCTCCCCTCGCCGGGCTTCCCCTGCCCTCGGCTCCCCTCGGCTCCCCTCGGTTCCTCGGGTCATGTGGAACAGCATGGCCGCCATGAACAGGAATCCCCGGGGCCCCCGAATTACCTCAGCCGTGGGGACACCATGAGCCCTAGGGTCACCTCAGACCCCGGGAATGTCATAAACCCAGTGTCACCTGGCGCCTTGAGGACACCTTGAGGACCTTAAGAAGCTCCGGCACCCAGGACATACTGGCCTCCCTAATACCGTAGTTTACAAGCTCCCGTCAAGCCCAACCCCAATACTGCCCTGCTGGCCAGTAACGGCCACTGGCCCAGGCCCAGGCCCTGACCACGCTATGGCTTGGCCACCACGGCGCGGCCTACAACCAGCCAGCCCGGCGGTCCGGTCCTGATACCGTCCGCATACGCACCATGAGAAGCCTGCGTGACGCTGAAGAAAATATTAAAGGCTAAGGGGGACCCTTACCCGAATCTTCTTCCTCAGACATTGTGAAGTAGTGGTGCTGGGCTCTCAGAGCTGAGGCTCAGCGTGTCTAGCCCAAGGAGTCCACTCCCTCAAGACTGAGGCACCAACCGCCAAGGGCGCTAAGCAGCGGAACTAAGCGTTTTGCGACAGCGCTTGCGCAGTACGTGGAGGCGGGAAGAGTGCCCGCCCCCCCTTGTTGGAAGTCCTTCCTCTCACTTTCCACCTACTTTTTAAAGGTGCACTATTTGAAAAAACTAAAAAAAAATTACATATACATACACATACACATACACATATACATGAGTCAGTACCCAACCGTGTAATTCCAGTCTTCCCAAAATACTCATAGCACATCGTTTTAAAAGTGTATAATATGGAAGAATGGACTTCAGACTTCCTAATATTTTATGGAATGCATACTCACAACTCTTCTTTTGCCTTTGGAAACATCCTAAATAACTTCTGCTTTTAAAATATGCCCCATGCAGTGCTCGCTTTGGCAGCACATATACTAAATATGGTCCATGCAAGACGTGATGGCACTCGCCTGTAATCTCAGCACTTGGGAGGCTGAGGCAGGAAGATCACCAAGAGTTCGAGAGTTCGGCCTGAGCTACTAAATGAGTTCAAGGCTAGTCTGGACTGCATAGCAAAATCTTGTCTCAAAAAAAAAAAAAAAAAAAAGCCCCTAATCGTGACCACTAATTCCTGTTTTTCAGCTAGGATGCTTGGTTTGCCGTTTTTCAAATCTCCACAAAGTAAACCACTTACTATGCCCGATCTTAGCTGGTCTTCAACACAAGTTAGTACAGTGTTCCATTTAAAAGATGGGAAAACTGAGTCTTAGAGGTATTATTTTGCTCAAAGCCACAAGACCAAGTGTGTGTGACTACAGAGTCCACCAAAAATGTATACATACTTCAGGAAAAGAAACAACTCGTTTAAATATGTTAATATTAAATATATTGAAACATCATGAGATTAACAAAAGTTACTATTGGCCTCCACAATTAGAAGAAGTGCTCGAAGTGGTGGCTATTACAGACATTTATTAGTACAGTGAGGTACTGCTTGAATAATCTTGGTCACTGAGATTGTTGTACACACATTTTCAATTTCTTCTCTGAGGGGCCAGCAGTGTAGTGGGTTTTCTGTGATATATGATGTCCTCTAGGTCATCCATATGAGGGTAACAGGGTAACACCATCTGCTGAGAAAAACATCATACTATTTTTCTTTTCCTGAAGCACATATGCATTTTTTGTGAACTCTATGCTCATTCTCTTCTCTCTCTCACTCTCTCTGTATTTCTTGTTCTCTCTCTCATTCTGTCTCTGTCTCTGTCTCTGTCTCTGTCTCTCTCTCTCTGAAAGATTAGATCTCTTTATGTTGCTTATGCTGGCTCTGAACTCCTGCACTCAAACTATCCTCCTGTCTCGGCCTCCCAAGTAACTGGAACAATAGATATGGGTACCCCTGGCTCAGAGTTATAATTTGCACACTGTCAGCCCCCATAGCACATGCACATCATTCCTGTTAGTCTACATCCAGCTCAATTACATACAAAACTCTTCATATCCTCCAAAAGTTGTTCCAGTACTGAATCTCCTCTAATAATAATTCTACCAAAACACCTTCCTATACCCACAGTGAGAATGAGTCACTTCTCTAGGCTCTCACAGCTGATTACCTTTTGCCTCCCTTGCAGCATTTAAGTTATGTTGCTTAATATTAGAAACCTTTGTAAGCATGCACTCTCCTATCTTAATCCAAAGTACACTGCCTGTTTCTTACAGCTGTAATCGGTATATTCTTTTAGAGTTTCATTTTTTACTAGCTAAATTCCTCAGCAATTCATTGTTACACTTAATACTTTTTTTTTTTGTCTTTTTAGTTTTTCATTGGTACCAGGGCTCGAACTCATGACCACACACTTGCAAGGCAGGCGCTTATGCCGCTGAGCTAAATCCCCAGCCCCAGCACTTAATACTTTTGATGTTAAACTTTCCAATTTGAATCACTATGGTTTTTCCTTTGTGTTGGCCCAGGCCGATCCACGTACCCTTTTGGATTTCTTTCTGGTACCTTATATTCAGTAGGAACATATGGTTTGTTCATACAATATGATTGAAAGTCCAACAGATACTCAACAATTCCTTTCAATTGCATTTCTGGTTACTTCTCTCCATTAGTTTGAGTGACTTTTCTTCTCCATGGAGGGAGACAAAATGGAGGAAAGAAATGGTTTCCTTTGGGGCATTTTTTTTTTTAGATAGGATGACATTTTGTACTTCATATTGGCCCTGAACTCACTACATAACACAGGTTGGTCTTGAACTCACAAGTGCTCCTCTTGCCTCGGCCTCTCTAGTGCCAGGATTATAGACTTGTGGCACCATCCCTGGCCTTATTGGCACTTCTAAGGCTAAATTTCCACTTTCTGGTCTGTCTACACTGAATTAATCTGAGTTGGGAAGAATAATAGTGAAAGCAGGCAAGGGAGGATGTTTCAGCAGTGGAAGAAGTGGAGATGGGGGATGCAGGCAATGGTAGCTACCCATTTTCAGTTACAAGTTGGACCCCTCCAGTGACACAAAGAGCAGCCAGGGCAGTGATGATACCCTGAAGTTCCACTGCCTTTAATGGTGAATTGAGTAAGGCAGAGCAGCCACTGCCCTGGAAGACAACTAGGAAAACGGGAGGATGTAATTTAACTACATATTATAAAATTAAAGAACAATGTAAAGTTAATAATACCACAGGTGATTACTGAGACAGCATCTCCCTATGTGCCAAGTTGGTCTGGACTTCATAATCCTGCCTCAATCTTCCAGACCAAAGGCATCCACCAACATACCTAGCTTTAGTAATTCTTAAGTGTATATTAGGGTGCCATTTACTGTGATCACTGTGCTGTTTAGTAGATCTATAAGACTTTTACATCTTTCATAACAAAAATTTTGTTCTCTTTGACTCACATCTCCCCATTTCCTCCCTCTCCTCCAAAATCCACCATTCTACTCTGCTTCTATGAGTTTGACTATTTTAGATTCTTTAAGTGATATCATGGATTATCTGTCCTTCTCTATCTGGGTTACTTCCCTTCTCACAATGTCCTCTGAATTTGTCCATGTTACTACAAATATCAGAATCTTCTTTTTGGAAAGAAAACACACTTAAAACTTTCATATAGTCTATCCCCAGCAATAGTTCTCAAATGTGGGTGTGTATCTGAGTCCCCTGAAGAGTTTGTTTAAACACAGATTCTCAAATGTCTCTAGTACTACTTTCAGCAGGTCTGGACAGGGCCTGGGAATTTGTTTGTTGTCTTACTTTTCTCTTGTTGCCGAGATAAAATACTCAACACACAAAGTTAAGAGGAAAGGTTTATTGAACTCTCGGTTTGTAGAGGTTTCAGTCCATAACTGGCTGGTTTCAAGGCAAGGTGGCACATGGTAGAGAGGCAACAGTTCATGATGACAGGAATTAGCAAAAGCAACGAGAGGAGAGAGAGAAAAAAGTGGGAAATGAGCCTCTTTCTACCCCACTTATCTGCTTGGATTAGGGTGATATCAATCCAATCAGTGCACTAATACAGTAATCACCCAGCCTTAATGCCAGCACCCTTAACTTAGCATGGCACTGTGAATCAATCACACATAGATAGACTCATCTATCTCCAAAAAAGCTTGCCCTCCATGACTGCATGAGGCTTTAGGGGTACATCTAGATGCAAACCATAACACAAATGTCTAGTACATTTCCATGCTGCTGATAGATGGCAGGTATAAACTGCTAGTCCAGAGGCTACACTTTGAGACCAAATTTGATCTTAGATCTGGGTCTTCCATGTTGCAGCTACTGCTGTATGCAGTTAATAAACCCTTAAAAAATCTGAATGAGAGGCTCTCTCAGTGAAAAATTATCAGACTTTAAATACAGAACACACAAATATAAAGTACTGCTAATAATTTAATATTTATTACATGTTAAAAATATTTTGGATATCATGTCTGTTAATCAAGATATGTCAAATTGGTGAATTAAGAAATGCCTAGCAGATTAGTAAATCACAATTCTGGGTATGTCTGTGGAACTTACTGGTATCTGGGCTAGCAAACTGAGAGTGGAATACACACCCTGGCTGTGTGTGGAATTAAAAAATAGGTATATAACCTGGGTGGACTGAAAAAGTGAAACAAGGAAGTCTGCCCATTTTTGAAGAGTCCCTGGTCTCTCGTTTCTTCAACCTTCCAAAATGTTGCACGAACACCTCTGCAGTGAGTTCCAGGCCTTTGACCTTGAAACTACTTTCTGGGACTGCATCCTTGATCCATCTTCTGCAGCTTCCATCTTTGGCCAGCAGCTATTAGTTTCTCCAGTTCTCCAGTGCACAGACTGGCAACATGGATTTTCCCATCTCTGATTGTGTAAGCTGGCTAATAAATCATTTTGACATAATTATACATATATTTTTATCAATTCTATTTCTCTAGAATTCTTATATTTCCTCAAATAAAATACATTATAAATTAATTTCATATATTTTTTCAATATGGCTCAAAGATTTCTATTGGATCGTGTTGTAATAATGAAAAGACATAAGATATCAAGCCATGAAAAAGATAATATAATGGATAACCTGAGATTCAAATACTGCATAAATGTTCAGTTACATTAAGAAATTGTTTGTTCATTTATTTATTTATTGGCATTGGGGGTCAAAATCATGTCTTCACACTTTTCAAGCAGGTGCTTATGCTACTGAGTTAAATCCCCAGCCCCAGAAATTTTTTTATCTTTAAGTAAACAATTTTGAATAGTTTTAGATGGGAAAGTTCTAAGATAGTATAGAAAGGGACTAGTATTTAATCTCTTTATAGATAGTAATCTAAACTTTTGATGTAATGCTTTTCTTATGCTTTTTGCTTATTGTGATGCCTGCTAAATGGCTGTGTTTTATTTTATCTTCCATAGTGAGTTGGAAATGATGTGGCTTGTGTTCTTATAATTAAACAATTACTATAAAAATATTTCACTGCTAAGAAATCACAAAGCAAGGAAGTATCAAAGTGAAATATACTCAGAATTCCACCCATTCCAAGATGTCAACTATGAACAGTTTGGAG